AGGGGGGGGGGGGGGGAGGGGGAAGATTGATTTATATTTTACACAAATAGATTATAATTTGCAGAAAATTAGCATGTTTTCAATTTTGCAGTTCTGAAATTTAATCATTCGATTAAGCTAATCGAAGTTAACGAGACCGATAAAGAGTTAAATTTCAAAAACCTTCATGCTATAGTATTTTGATTCGTGAATTTTGGAACACTGTATATTAATAATTGTACAATTTTATGGAACAAAAATAATCTTAATTTTGCGTAAACGCAAAATCGTTGTGTAAAGTTTATAATGCAAATTTTAAAAGTATCTTGATAAACGCATATGATTAAAAAAAGAACAGCAGATTATTAACTCGAAAGTTAACTAATTCAGATCGTTGATCCAACTCACTCCTAAATAAGATTACTAATTTTCCATCCGTATCTATAATATTATAATATAAATCTATATTCTAATCATAGTTAAGACAGGAAGTCACTGGGAATTTATAGCTGGCCCGAATTGTCAGCATGATTCAGCCTTAAATTTTACTTTTGTGTTCCATGCTACTTGTATCATAAGTATCCGTCCTATTACTTTACGATGAAATCAGATATGCGAACGGGTCGTGCATCTTTTTAAAGGTCTTTTGTTGTGCGACATTTCAATATAGGTTATTGCTCTATTAGCGCCTTCGCTTAAAGGCACTCTTTGAAAGAAAATCATAATGTTGCGTGCATTTTATGGAAATTTCACGTTCTATTATCGAAGAATCTTACGAAAAGATCAGGTGCATTCAGCGTTAAATACGAACTGTCATTGTTTAAAAACTCTATTTTAGTTTATCTTTTTTATAATTATTATCAGAATTCAGGGTAGATTTTTATTTATATAGTTTTATTTAGCAGGTATTATAGACAACACAAAAAATGTTTAAAAGATCAGAATACACATATACTACACACATAAAGACTTTCTTTACCAAGCACTTAATACGCATAATAACCAGTATTTCGGCAAGACGTATAAATATATACACGATAAGCTATCTAATTAATCATATAGATGTATCAACTTAAGTAGGGAAACATGTGATGTTTTTTTGATCAGTTGTACGTTTAACTGTATGATCTTATAAAAACTTTATTGGATATTTGCTTGGATATTTGTAAAAATAAAAATATGTAGTTTATAGTACGAGCACCGAAGGTATTTTATAACTTACAATTATAATAACGAAGAGAATTATACTCCTATAAAAAAATCATTTATTGTTTTGGGTCGTTCGAAGAAACTAATTTTAAGACGCCTTTTAATCATAAAATGTTGTATATGTATACAAAATTATATTTGACAATTATAAAAAATCTACTTTTTTAGGAAGGTTTTTACATTTTAATTCTCAATATACTTAATATGTCACAAGAGGGGATTTATTTATAAATATGATTGACAGAGAATATTGTTTCTATCTCATCCCAGGTTCCACAAAAAAAAATTAGAGAATTAATTTTAATATTACAAAACAATGATTATCCTATCAATTTTATTTTTGCAATAATCACTACTAGAATTAAATATTGTATTAATAGAAGATCTGTCAATCATATTTATAAAAACAAAAAAAAATATTATCAATGATAGATTTTTTACGGTAACATATGTAAAGACTATCTCCGAATCATTCTATCCATGGGTATATTAATAAAAAAGTAACATTTATATCATCTCTTACATTTGAAAAATATATCACTCAAAGCAGGAATAAGTTTGATTATATGTCGCATCAAGTAGTGTATGTATGTACAAGATTTCTTGCCATGATTGCGATGCGTCATATAAGATTAAACAAAAAGGCAATTAAAAACGAGACTCAATAAATATACGAGTGTTATTAAAAAATAGGTTTCATCTTGTAATAACCAATCACTGATCAACTTTTGACCATAATTTTAAATGGGATGAAGTTAAAAAATATTAGATAGTGAACTATCTTGTAATAAAAGATTGATTTCGGAGAATATCAGTTCATATTAAAAAACAAGAGCATGGACTGAATAAACAAAGTGACACAGAATCTTTATCTCCCCATATTACAATTCTTACCTCCTACTTAATTTTACACTCCTTCCTCTTTTTCTTCTCACCACTTAACTTTCCCTTTTCAATGTCTCTCCATCATGTTTCCACTGTGTCATTTTTTTTACAATGGTTACAATATTGTTTCTTTCAACCGTCACGAAATAAGATAACTGTTCAGAGGCATGATATAAATACAAGGATATCCTCGTCCGGTGGTAGACCACTGCGCAGGAATTGGAGTGGTGGGGAGTTTTAAATGTTGACTTCATCACCTCGGCTGTTTCCGGAGCGGTTCGTATAGGTTTGAAACAGGGCCGCTATTTATCCAGTCTAAGGGTCTGCGCACAATAGGAGAAATATTAGGAACAGATATTAAATATAAGAATTTTAACCTATCAGAATTGTGTACTGTGGAATGTGCGCTTTCTGACAGGTTAAAATTCTTATATTTAATATCTGTTCCTAATATTTCTCCTATTGTGCGTAGACCCTAAAGCCCGATCTACAATTGCGTAAACGTAGTTGTAAGAATTGACTAATCACAGTTGAATACGAGGAGAATATTCGACTGTCATTGGTCAGTTCTTATAACTACCAACCACTTACAACTACGTTTTCGATAGAGTGTTGTCGTACGTGCATCAGTGATAAGAATTATCGAAAATGAGCTGTGCAGTAAAAGGATGTAAGAATTATAACTGGAAAACGAGAAATATGCCAGGAAGAAAAGTTCAATACTTCTTTTTTCCGAAGGATAATGCAATGGTTTTGAAGTGGCTGGAAGTTTGCAGGAAACCAGACCCTTCCGTTGCCAGTACATTCCCCTTTTTTGTTTTTTCCTTTATATTTCCTTTATTGAAGCCATAAGTTAGTCTTATTTCTGACTACCTATTTAAATTTCCCTCGTTTTGATGACGTCTACTTTTGATAGAATTCTTATTGGTCACTTCTTTGTCACGTGATTTCTAGATGCGTAATAACATACCCTTGCATTTGGATCATTACAATTTTGAAAAAAATGAAAGGGAGTTACGTTTTTGGGTCCTATACTGCAATGTTTCTTAAAATTGTGATGTAATAGCCAATTTTTGCTAAAAAGATTTTCTAACTTTACAAATTTAACGTTTAATATTACGAATACTACTTTTTGAGTATAGTAACTGTTGATGGTTTTTATTTATGATGATTTTAATTTACATATTTCAAGTGCAACATATTAAAATATAATTAATATATCAAAGTCTTTTTCGTTGAGAGCTACTTTACTTACCGTTTATCTTAAAAATACTTACTTTTAACTATCTTTAATTTCGTGTTAGAGCGTATACAATGTATGCGTGCATCCTGGCATTACTCAGGATTGACACATGGACGTGGCAGGTATCTGATCCCATGTGCGTTATATGTTTTTAGTAACGTGTATTGTCTCCTTTCGTATTTATCAATTCGTGTATTCATCGAGACATACTATTAATTAAATGTCTTATTTCTTCTCTAAAATATTGAATATTTTATTACTTGTGACACTTATTTTTTTGTCAAATTTATTCTGACTTTACAATTGAGGGACCTAAAGGTTAGTTCATTGTCGGAGAGATACAGATGCTTGTCTTTTGTTAATACAGAAGTATTTATTTTTTTAGAATTATGAGATATCTTTGCAAATAGTCATCCAATCGCTTGACGAGTATCCACGTTTCTCCGAGTAGTCACTCATTCTTTCCGTTGATTTTATATATTTATTAATTCTTAACAAAAATCGTCTCTAATCTGTAGAATGTTTTACTGCGTTTCTAAATATTGTACATCTGAGGAGGGCCCGAGGCCGAAATATGTCATGTCATGATTTATGTATTATCCAACGCATTGCATAATTTTATCAATGTTCAATTTTTATGTTAATATATTAGCGTTGATTTAATTTTAGATGTTTGACTCTTATTAGCTTTTTATCTGTTTATTATATTTTGAATACTAAGAGTCCTGTATTTATATATTAATTTATTTTTTCTTGTCACAAATTTTGCCATTCCTACTGAGAGGAGACAATACACGTTACTAAAAACACAACACAAATGCACGCGCACACAAACACACCCCTACCCATTATTATTGTCATTTATTAATATGTTACACACAATATGTTATAAAAATAATAGCTACATAGAATAAATAGCAGAAAATGGAAATGAAGGGGTAATCTCTGTTGTTATATCATGAATAAAACAAGAAATGCACAGTAAATTCTGTTGTTATATTTAAAAAAAAAAAACTAATTTTAATAAAAGCCATGACGGTGAATACTAAGTGATAAAGTTTGTACAATAGCAAGTTTCAAAAAACGTTTTACAAGCCAATATTCACATATATAAAGTTATACAATATGCGTATACATTTAATTCTTCGCTCTAAAACAGAGAACAAAGTACCTAGCTACTTTGCTGTCTTGAACTCGCCCATTGTTTCACGAGCATATAGTATGAAGATTTGAGCGCAAATACGAATTTTTAAAAATTTCGTTAAAGTTATGAAAAAGAATGTTACTTGCGTCGAAGAATAGCGCAAAAATTGCTGTAAATGCGCAATATTATGTACGTAAGAAGAGTTATCGTCATTCATTAATTTACGATACACTTAGAAGGTTTTACTTCTCGAGAAAAGTTTAGAATCCGTTTCTTCCTCATGCTTATACTTTTGTTACTTTATGAAACGTGTCGTACTTAACTATATATAAAGATATTTTCTTTACATATGAATAGTCTTGTCGCTTTCGCGCGAACCAAATAGGGACAAATAGGATATATTCTTTTATTCGGTTGAACTATCGTTCAGTAGACAATAATACTAAAGCTAGCGTTCAACAAACAACATACACTTGTTATACATCTCGTTCTGATATGCAACATAAAGACTAATTATTATTTTTCGTGAAACCCTGCCGCGTATAGTATACTCGATAATAAAGCGTTTTACTCCGCCAAAGTGAATACGAGTTGTCGAATTTTAGAAGATATATTCCCTGTAAGCAGAACATAACAACTATAAATAATTAATTATTTTTTACGAAATACATATGCGTATACAGGGTGTTCAAAAATTCCTTCCAAATATCATGAAAAGCATTTTTGAAAAAAATGTTTCATATAAAAGTTGTAGGGTTGATAATGATCTATTTAATGACGTTATCAATTTGATTTTTGGTAGCGCCCAAAAGATTAAACCGATTTTTTTTAATGAAATATTTTACTTTTTTATTTCAAAATCTAACAATTGATGTCAAAGGTTTTTTAAAATTATAATAAAGCGTCTTTTTAATCAATATTTTTCGAATTAAAAGTTTGAAATTAAAAATTTGAAAGTTATAATATTTTCAGCATTATTATTACCTAAAACCTAGTGTATTGCTCGGTCGGATCTATAATAAGTTGTTTGTATATGCACGCGCGTTTTTGAGTGCGTTCCGTTTTTCGCATAATGCGCATAATACATCGTTTGTCGCCCACCAAATATTAAGTAAGGACAATTGATGCATTATACGCATTATGCGCGAAACGGAACGTACCTTTTATTTCTACTCCTCTTCTCTCTTCTTCTCTTTCTTCCTCCCACTTTAGTTATTTTTGATTATAAAGTATTTACCTAAAATTCTAATGTTAATTAAATAGAAACGTATAAAAGTCCCTTTAATAATGCGAGGATAGGATAACGTCTTATGCACAAGAGTGACAGAATTTTCAATCTTTTAGAAATAAAGATAATGGTATATCAAAATCGACATCATTCATTTGAATAAATATTTAGCATTCCTTTAATCTTAGCTCGCCATATGGAATACAACATACCCAATGCGATTTTTCACATTACAATTTCAGACTCTAACTGTTTTATGATATAATTTAAGAACAAAATATTTTTCAAAATAAATATAATCAAACAAAAATATTTTTCACTTGATTTTTAATTATGTTGTCTAATGAGTACTTTACAATCAAAGATAATTGTGTGGAAGAAAAAAAGAAAAAGAGGGAAAGAGATAAAACACACACAGAAGTGTGCGCGCTCATATACATAATTTATAAATCCGACTGGACATTACCTTAGGTTATGATAACGTTGGCGATATTATAACTTTTAAGTCTTTTAACTCGAAAAATACTGATTAAGGCTCCTGAGTACTTAACCAAGAATTCCGTATTGATAGCGACACTGAATTAGTCGGCGGCTTGGCAAAAGTGATAGTTACACACATAAGTACGAGCTCATGTGCTCATTTTCGGGTCGAAGACGAGCACACAGCATGGACTCATGCTTGTTTGTGTGTGTATAGCACGGTAAAAGGCTGAACTAATAGGCGTGGAAAAGTAATGTTATGACAACAAAATTTTTCTTGCGTGCCATTTCGTTAATATTTACTTATATGTGAAAATGTGACTTGCTTTGTACTTGTGAAAGTCCCAAAAATGGGCGGAAACTACAGTTATCTTGAAATTTTATACGTAAAAGCGTATATTTTATTCGTTTCATTATAGCTGTTAAACTGTGTGTTTCTGCTCGAGTATAGGCTCACTTTATGTGCTCTTTACGACCATTTACTGACTATTAAAGGAGGAAAGGGTAGTTTCCGCCCATTTTTACAAATGTTTTTAAGCGAACTCAACCTTTACATTTATCCAAATTGTCTTTATTTACAAATGGCAGGCAACAAAAATTAATGTGCATTTCTTGTCTATGACGTCACAATTCCAACATGGCCGTCGCGACTACTCAGGAGCCTTAAAGAGGTTTTACTATAATGTTTGAAAAACTCTTCACATCGGCTAGATTTTGAAATAAATTATGAAAAAAATGTTTCATTAAAAAAGTCGACTCGACCTTGACCTGACTTTGGTGGCGCCACCCAAGATCAATTTGATAATATCATCTACAATGAGACTTTAAAGACGTAAAATTTAAGCTTTAAGCCGTAAAAATTCTCACTCAATCATAGTTGATCATTTTCCACACATTCGACTGTGATTGGTCAATTTCTTACAGTTTAAAGCTTAAAGCTTAAATTGTACGCCTTTAAATCTCATTGTAGACGTCGCTTTAAATAGATCGTTTTCAACCCTTTTGTATTAAAAATTTTTTTTCAAAATTGCTTTTCAAGATATTTAACGGATCTGGGACTTTTTGAGTACACAATTAAATAATATAGAAAAATAATAAAAAATTTTCTTAGGTTTTTACCTCGCCCGGATATTGATGACTTCCAGCATAAATCTCCTCTTGAGAGTCTCTCCTATATATCTTCAAATAGTATACGAAAACATATATATTAGTACATAATTTGTATAATTCAATCAAGAGATATAAAGCCTATTTTCGGTCAAACCAGATCTTAATGCTTAAATATTTCAGAGTGAATTTATATGTATATCCAATTCGGCAAACCACGCTCCTAAAAATAATTTTTGATTTTGAAATGTAATTATGAATGAAACAAATAATTATGAATAACAAATATATTTTTCCTCTCATTTTTTGTAAATCTGTTAATTTTTTATACATAGAATATATTTTGAGAAGAAAAGTTATCGCTTAAGTCTTGTTTTTTTTTTAATTTTAAAGTTTTTTAACATCGACAAGTTAAAAACGTGACAGGGCAATATTAGGATTAGCCAGAGTTTCTCAATAAACAATAAATTTATTATTGAATGATATGAAGAGACGATCAGACTGAGAAAAATAATTAGAGAACCAAAAACACGTACGTGATCTGAAGAAAGTATGAAATCACAGATTTCTTTATCCATTTCTATTTTCAGCGTTGGTCGTCATACTGAGATTAAATAGATAAAGAAATCTGTGATTTCATACTTTCTCCAGTTTTGAACACAAAATACACTAGGAGCAGGTTACATTAGTCTGAATATTTTAATCGTGAAGGAATTTTTATTCTGTGAAACTATTACGAAGAAATTAAACAGGAACGAAACCGTCAAGAACGCTAGTTTTATCTACCTGTATTACCATACAGGCGGCTCCAGCATCCTCTTAATTTATTGCAAAAAATATTACCTCAATTGGGATACAAACCTAAATTTCCCGTATTTTGTGCAGGTGATCTCATCGTGCGATTATTGAGACTTCTGCAATATTTATCGCAATAACTGGAACTAGTAAGAAAAACTATGTTTTTCAAAGAAATATATATCAATAATTATAATTTGACTACAATTTACCTCAATGGTCTAACTGTGATGACGCTTGCTTGGAAAGAGAGAGATCCCCGGATGAGGTAATAATTTTTGCAATAAAATTATTTACAGGTTTGATGCTTATCAATATTATATTATTTTCTAAGTCTATGAGTATCAATTTATTAAATTACTTATCAAAATGTAATTTGTGGTATCGCTGCTCTAATTCTATTAACTGCGTTTCAAGACTGAAAATTAAATTCGGCGCGTAATTTGTGAGATTGAATATGTAGTATATAAATTCACACATTATATGTTATTTATTTAAAATACTATTATTTAAACACTGAGAATCCAACTTAATCATTTTAGGCCTTTATTTCTAACTTGTGTAATTATAATTCATATTAAATCAATGTCTTCGTGACTGAAAATAGACTTTATTTCTTTTAACTTATTCAGTCTAATAAGAATTGTAATTATATAATTTAAATTTAAATTATGCAATTTCACCCGTAAACATCTGAATATAGATAATATTCAAGTACTTACAGGTATTATAACGCTTATAGGTGGTGTGGTCGTTCTACGTTCAGGTCGGGCATTACCATTCACCGATCCGCTCTCTAAATCTTTCCGCGGTTCGTACTCCTCTTCGTCTTCGTCTTCCTCGGACTCGCTTATGTACACAGATACCTGGTTTGTCTCTGGTTTCGACCATTCGAAATAAACCCCAAAACCAATGTCATAACCATCTGTAGCGAACTCCCAAAACAGACAAGTCCCGTCTTCGTGCGTTGGTACTCGCACTGTAACGGTCTCACCATGGCCGACCTTAATAATCGAGTCTCCTGTTTCCCTTCTAATAGTCTGTTTAAATTCCTCCACACCTTTTCTCGTCCACATCTCTGCAGGATTGATAGGCGGCCAGTCTTCTACTTCGTCTGAATCTTCATCATTTACGTTTTCGTTCGTGTTATTTTTATCATCATCGCGGTCATCATCTTTGCATGTTTCATTCTTTAACTGAATATTCTTTTTTATCTTCACCTCTTTCTCCTCTTCTTCTTCCTTTTCAATATGGTCCTCAATAACTAATTGGTTCTGATGAAGTTGTTGCATGTACTGATGATAATGCTGCTCCTGTAATTGTCTAATCAAAACGCCCTGCTGTTCCGGATTGCCAGGGTACTGTTGTTCAGCGTATAATTTGAACTGATAATATGTTTGTTGATTTAAAGCATCCTGAATCTGTCTCCTCTGAGTCTCTTCTTTCAGTCTTTCTTCCTCCTGTTTCTTTTTCTCTTCCTCTAGCGCTTTAAGTTTCTTCTCTTCTTCCTGTTTTTTTGCCTCCTCTTCTCTCTTAAGTCGTTGCTTCTCTTCAAAATTTCTTTTTTGTGCCTCAACTACAGTTCTGAATAAAGGGCACAGTTTATCCAGCAATATTATAAAGCCTTCCATTGCCTGTTCTTTTGATATATCTCCCAGATTTTGCCATGCAACTCGCCTATCCCTTCCGATCATGTCTAAGACACCTAACGGTGGTGCATTTTCAGCTGTGTATTTTCCATGTGTCACTTGTTGCGTGAATGCTACCAGTTTTAATTTATCCTCATAAGAGAGATGGACAGCTTTGCCTTCTTTTTCTAAATAAAAATTAAATGTTTTGATAATTTGTTAAAAAGCATGATACATCATAAATGTGATTTATTTACTTAACACTCAATTACCATATGAGAAAGTTATAATATAATAAAATATGCAGTCGATAACTTTCTCATATAGTAAAAGGCTGGTTCAACGATTCTGATTCACCCTGTATATACATACATCTAATTTACATTTTAATCATATAATTTTATTTTTCAAAATAAAACAAAACAAAATTCCAACAGTTGATGGCTATATAGTTATATTTAGAGTCCTTACATTTATAAAAATTTTTATATAGAATAAAATTTTTGTAAATGTATTACATAACTTTGAAAGTACTAAAATATATATATAGATATATAGGTACACAGTGGGTTTATACTTGAAAATAATTGGAATAATAAAATATAGCATTAAAAATTTATAACTATTAGATATAAATAACAAAAATTATCCTCCAAGTGTATCGTATTTGATAAATATTATTTATATAAATCAAATACTTAACAAGGACTCTGAAAATTAAAAAATTAAAAGAGGTACAGGACACACGAGAGTACTGAGCGGAACTTGGTGTACAAATTTTACAATATATAATTAATAAAAATTAAACATAAATTTATTCAATGTATGATAATCAAAAGGCTCGGTTAAATAAATCACAAAAATAAACAAGCTAATATGAGCCGACACAAGTTCTTGGAGTTAAAACTGTCATTTTACAAGATGTCATTTTACATCTGTCTGCCAAACAATTATGTCGTGTCTAATAATTTTTATTTAAATTTCATTAAATGGAGCAGTCTAATGGAACCTGTACTACAACTATACAAAAATTGCCCAATCTTGACAATCATTAAATCTATCAATTTGATGTACAAGATTTTACTTGAATTTGGACATTACCACCTGAATATTATCTCATATTTTCATTAAGTATAGTTGTATGCGCTACCATCGTATACGTAATTTTACATTTAATTGTTAATTTTATATTATTTTGTATTGAGGAGAATCTTAACCATAGGTCGAAACGTATACATTTTATGTATTTCTAATAAATTCTAAGAAAAGTACACTCCTATGCAATTCAATTTGCATAGAATTCGAACCTTTTTGGCCACATTTGAGGCCATCCTTAACAAAATTACAGATAGTTTAGAAGAATAGCTTCTCCTGTAATTCTACGTAATAGGCCGAATGATTGCTCAGATGTAAATTTAAAATCTTTCAACATGGTTCCATACCCAATGATAATTTCAAATTAGAAACCTAAGGTATTAAGTTTACAGATTGAAACCAACTACAAAGAGATTGTGATGCAATCTATGTTGGACTGATAGAAAGTTACAAACAACCAGGATTTCTGAACACAAAAATCACATTAATAGGAATACTTCTTCCTAGTCAGTCATCACTGATCATGGGTTGCATCACAATCATGAATTTGATTGGCTAAATGTTAAGATTTTAGACACTGAAAGATTCTTAAATAAATGTTTGACATCTGAAATTAGTTTAATAAAATTACAAAAGAATAATTTAAATTTACAATCTGACACTGATTATTTAAATCATGTGTATACCGATATTATTATAATAATAAGTTATAAAAACTATATTTATATATACTTTAAGTCAATTTTTCACTACATATGTATTCCACATAATTATCAGCCTTAAGTATTCATTTTTTGTTTATATTAATTTTACCACAACATTTGCATATTTTATGTTTCAATAATTCTGACTTTCGTAATGATAACAATTTCTAAATTCTTTTTCTTATATACTATTTTAACTTATATTTTCTATAATTAATCTGTTTTTTTTTTTTTTTGTATGCGTCTCTTACACTCTTGTCTACAGGTGAGTTTGTTGTTTAATTTATCTCTTTTTTGTAGTTGGTTTCAATCTATAAACTCTTATAAATATCTTTTCTAACTTGAAATTATCACTGGTCATAGAATCACGTTGAAGGATTTTCAATTTATACCTGAGTAATCACTCGGCCTGTTACGTAGGATTACAGGAGAAGCTATTCTCCTAAACTGTCTGTAATTTTGTCGAGGATAGGACAGCAAATGTGGCCGAAAAGTTTGAATTGTAAGCAAGAGTTGAATAAACTTATTTAATTTTTATTAATTAAATATTGTAAAATTTGCGCACCAAGTTCCTTGCCGTACTGTCAGGTGGTCTCAAGTGCCCTGTACCTTTTCTAATTTTTGGATATGTCGAATAAAATTTTTATTGGAATTCCATCATGTTCCTTTGATGTAAAAGCTAGCATGACAATAGAAAAATATGAATACAAGTATTTGCATGGAGGAATATGAAGGATTTACCGAAATATAATTTAATTTAAATAATCTTAAAAAATGCGCTCACGCACTGTATCGTAACGAGAGATAACAAATTTCTGCATGAGTAAATCGTTAAGTGCTCACCTTTGTAGAAGTTGAGTGCAAATTTATAAAGCTCCCGCGTCTCGAAGCCCCAGAGCCGCGGCTTACAGTTCTTCGCTGTAACGTCCACATCATTGCTATCGGTCTTATTCGTAGAGTTTTTATCGTTCTCCGTCACGTCCGAAACGCTCAACTCGTCGATCCATTCACTGAGTGTAGACACACCAGACACATCCTCTTCGGCAACGGCCGCCATTTGCGTTAGTATCTGACACGTCGATCGAGGATTGATATAAATTACGTGTGCCTAACCTGGCCTAACCTTGTTCGTCTTGTCCTTGTCAAGCGTTTGATTTGATTGCGACCGCTGAATCGGCTGAACGCCGAACAGCAGTCGCGGCATTATCTTGCGAGCAACATTACGAACAGCCTATGAATGCGTGTGCGTATGTGCAATATTCACACACAATAATGAAACCGGAAAATCACCTAGAATCTTGAATCGTCAGTGATTACAATGCCAAATACCGCTATTGGCAACAGATGCCGAACAGTTCTATGTATGCTGCTGCGGAGTGATCTCAAAGGCGAACAATAACACTATTCGCATTGCATTGATTGGCCACTTCCAGTCAATTTGACTGGAAGTGACCAATCAATGCAAACGGAAGCTCGATGCGGTGTTCGCCCTTCGCCCGTGTGTATATATATATGTCATGTATGATTCCATATGAATGCATATGCATGCATTGGTTACATACATTACGATTACGACGCATACGATATGTGTGTAAATACATACGTGTGATGTGTATATAATGTGTGTGTGTGTGTGTGTGTACATACACCTTGATGCGTCTATGTGTGTATGTTCGTCTAAGCCTATTTTTATAGTACTTGATCGTCCCACCGACTGCTACACCCTTCTCTCCCCTCAGATACATATGTTACGTCTTTACGGTCTTTTACGACTTTTTTCCTTCGAAGTGATAACGAGCACGATTCGATCGATATATAATACGGAATAAATAGAAAAGTCATGGAAGAATAGGTCTCTCCTTGCTGATGTATCATGATGAAGTATTCAAATATTTCAAATGTGATAACTTTTAGACGATTTGTTTGAATTTATCACTTTCCTGTTTTTCATAAATTGCATATTGTATGACATGTTATCCTCTTGTTCGATAAACAACAAGGATAAAATGATGCATCATGCACTTTACGGAATGCAGTCTATAAGCGCGCGATGTAATGTCATTTTATCCTTCTTGTTTTCGCTGACAGTCGATATCAATAATATATATACGTGTACCTTAAATAAAAATTAATAGTGATATTTTATTCTCGCGTTTTTAATACGTCTATTTGTTTCAAAACCCTATATCTTATCATTAAGTTATTTAATTCGCAAAAGAAACGCGAAAGTATAGAACAAAATTTTAATTTTTTTTTCCGTTCCAACGTTTGACTATATTTCATTTCGAATGCAGAATGCGCAGTATAGCGACTACAAAGAATAAATCTATACAATATACATATAGTATGTATATACATACATACACATTCTCGACCCAGGATATAGACCCGCCGGTCTCATCAAGGTCACCGATCATCACCGACACGACTGACGAAGTATGTACTATTAAAGACATGATTGGATCTTATGGAAGTTTACTTTTTCCAGCTTTGGACACAAAAAATACACCAGGGGCAGGTATATTAGCTTAAATATTTAAATCGTGGAGAAGAAATTTTTATTCTGCGAAACTATTACGAAGAAATAATTGGAACAGGAACGAAAACGTTAAAAACGCTATAGGGGACACCTCACCGATGACCTATGTTGTCATGATTCTGAGTAATTTTGCCTTAACAATTATAGGCGGCGGTCTCTTATAATTTCAGAGATATTTCGGCCGCTATTCATATAGTCGGTTCTTATTTTAAGATCGTCTCAAGTATGTCTTAAGATGCTAATGCAGCTGTCTGATTGGTTCATGACACCTCAAAATTAAACTTAAAATGGTCTTGAATATAAGGACCAACGACAAAGAACTGACTATGAATACCGGCCTTGAGCCCATAGAAAAACATAATCAGTAAGCAAATTGACCAATCATGCCAGAAACACATAGAAAAACGTAAGGCCTTAAGACGTAATCAGTAAGGAAATCGTAACATTGGATTCGCTACCGGTCTCGCTTTACGCGGTCTCTACTGTGATTGGCCAATCCGCTTACTGATTACGTTTTACGGTCTTACGTTTTTGTATGTGCCATTGGTCACAGTTGAGAACGTAATGCTATATCCACACAACTTGCATAGCTGCATAAACGCATGCATAAAGAAAATTATCCAATCGCATTTCCCTTATAGAGATGCACGTAAAATGTGATTGGATAATTTTCATTATGCATACGTTTATGTGGTTATGCAAGTTTGTGTGGATATGGCTTAAGCGGCCGCCGCGTTTTATCACTTGATTGGTTACACGGTTAAGGGCATCACACGTATGTACGAAAATTTTAGTAGTAATCGTAAGCAAATCGACCAATCACAATCAAAATTACGATTTCTTTCTTTTATTTCTTTCCTTTCTTCCGTGATTATTCATTTGATTGTGCTCCTTATAGGATGAAAGTGTCATCAGAATCTATTTCTCGGTTGTGAGAGGGAGCTCACTATGATAATCTTTTTATTCTTTGTTATTTTTAAATTATAATTTATTTATGTAATTTTTATTGTCTCTGAAGAAGGCTCAAAAATGAATCGAAACACAAGATGTAAGCTTAATTTTTTAATAATTTTTTATAATAAATAGACTTGCTTGATATATATCGGCATTGCGTGAACAGACAAAAAACAAACAATACTAAGAATAGATGTAATAAGAGAGAATATCCGCATTTATATATATATATAATTCATCCCTAAAAAGGAATATAAACATGTAGTACACACGAGAGAGAACTCATGAAGAGAAATTGCATCGTTAATAAATATGTAATTTGAAATTTTATAATTTTTTATGATATATTTAGTGCAAAAATACACACACTGCTATGAGACACGCACGCATGCACCTTTTTATACCATGTATCTATCTATACTATTGTCCATATTTGAAGGCGATGGGATGGCCTTTGAATATACAAAGGGACTCTTATTTGCTTTTCGTTCGAAAGATTAGGATCTTGCGTGGGATTAAAGTCGAGGCGTGTCGAGGCTGTGTTTCATAAGTACGAGTACACAGGGATTACGGATATTGACGGATATCGATAACGGGAAAAAGAAAAAAAAAGCAGGCGAATTTTTGCTCCACACTTTATCTTATAACGGATAGTATGGAGCGAGAGAGAAATGAAAGGTTAATCGCGAGGGAAATCGAGGAAGAGGAAATGAAACGTGAACTTACAGGTAATCAAATATGTTTACAGTGAGAACAATTGGAATATTAAAACGTGTTTGTGCCTAGGGGATTTTTCTAATTTTTTGCAAAACACATCAAGTACATATAACATTAAGGTTATTTTAAAGACGATTTGAACTTTGTCTAATTTTACAATGTAAATATTTTCTATGGTAATTATTTAGAATACCTCCACTAAAATCTTAATAAGAATGTACTCATTCTATGCGTACTCGTTCAATGCGACGGTTGGCCCCGTGAATCGAGCGTTAAAGTTTGAGGTTAAGATATGTGCAATCTCGTCTCGATACTGTGTATACCTTCTGCTTTAATTACCCAAATTCTTTATATTAGCAGAGAATTTGTATTTTTTACAGCAGTAAATTGTGTTTGTAAAGTATTTATATAATTAAAGAAGAACGTAGACATAGTGTCGTATCGAGTTTGGATATAGATATCTTAATCTTTATAGTCTCCGAAATTTGATGCTTAATAACTTAATGAGACTGATCGTCATATTTTGTCAGATTCTTTTGTTTTGAGCGAATATGCGTCAAATGAGTACATTTTTATTAAGATTTTATGGAGGAAGGAATATATAATTATATCTTTAAATTGAAAAACAATAATGTTGAAACAGGTTGAATAAGAGTGCAGCGTAATTAGTACACAAAGTAATATAAAGTAAATAATTCTTATTCTTTACATTCATACAGTCAATAATTCAATAGAATGTTTTGATTCTCTTTGAAGTGAGTTCCAGTTATCTTCAGCAAATTTGTAACATAATTATTATACAAACTAAAAACGCTTAACACAAACTTAATATTAATAATTATCACGGGTGTAATTAAATGATGTTTCTTCTCAATACCGGTTGGAGGATTGCAACTGTTAATTATAGTTCAATCAGACTCAGTGCCCATTAATTAACATATCGATTATGACATAAATTCATTAATCATAAAATCCAGAGTTAAACTTCTATAAAAAGAATTAAGACACTCAATGTAATCAAACAAAGGATTCTCGTAAAATAAGGTAAAGAATAACTAAGTGAGCGCTATGTGTGGCTTAAAAGAAACATGATACATAAATGCAAGATTTGTAAAACACAAAAGATTCAATCCTATTCAGGATGCGTATTCATGTGTAAAAAACATGTACTTCATATTTTTTAGAACATTATGTGATTTTAAATTTAAACTATTATTTTTAAGTGTAACATATAACATTTCAGAAATGAATCTCTCATTTAGAAATCTTTCACAATCCATAATCTTAACGTTTTCCCAATCAAAAATTCATTCCAGCAACTATCTTATCTTATAAAAAATTCATAGCCTTTTAATCTATGTTCAGTAATTACAGATTTATTGCTAGTTTTTCTATTAATTTGGTTTTGGTGTTCAGAAATCCTTGTTTTTAATTTTTTACTTGTTTGCCTTACATATGTTGAGTCGCAGTTTTTGCAACAAATTTTGTATTCTCTTTTTGATTGAAAGGCAGAATATCCTCTGAGACTAAACTAATCTCTCAAGTTTAGTCAAATTAAAAAAAGCCAATTTAACATTTAGATCTTTAGTTCTTAAATTTCTCAGAAATATGTGGTATATATAGAACAGTAAATTATGTTGATTTAATTGATTCTTGAAAATCAGTTCTATTTTGTGATTGTCTCGCGATTTTTTTGAAAAAAGCGATCTGAATCGTGAATTTATTGTGTCAAAAATAAAATTTAGGGGATAATTTATCTAAAAAGGCCTTAATAATGCAATGAATTGAAGATTTATATAGAAGGAAAGTTCTGTCTATCATCTCTATTAATATATCTCCTTTTTTGTGAAAGATATATGAAAGATATATGAAATATTTGGTTAATACACAATGTTAAATTCACTATTTTTTATTATATATATGAATGTTTTATAAATAAGTGTGTATACTTGTAATGTTATACATATAATAGCCTATATATATATTGTGTGTGCGTGCGTGCGTGCGTGCGTGCGTGTGTGTGTGTGTGTGTGTGTGTGTGTGTGTGTGTGTGCGCGCGCGCGCGCGCGCGCTACGAAATTATAATTTTTTTCCACTATTATCATTTCTATTGATAATCAAACTTGAACGATAATTATTCATTATCGTTCATCAAACATTAAAATCACAATTTTCGATAAAGAAAAATCGAGTATTGTGATATATATTACTCAACAAAATTAAAGAATCATCTGTTTCACCCTGCAAAAATAGTAGACAAATTTCGAGATAGAATAATTTCGTCAAAAATTATCGTATGGAAATTTTTAAAAAGCACTTTGAAGCTTGAAATCTCTACTTTTCAATACTTCAAAAAACGGTATTACTGGCATTTTATTAATAAAGTTACACAAACATAATAAATATGCATCAGATTTCAAAATTTGTTACGAAATTTGCGAATTAAAATTTTGCACAAATGCGGTTTACAGTTTTCAAAAGAGTTTTTACCTTTAATTTGTCTTTTTTCGACCTCTCTATGATTTTTTTTTACCAAGTTATTCAATTGAAGTAAAAATGACCTCTTTCGCTTCATGTTGAGCTTTATTAAACATCTCTATACGATGATTTTCGATGAAGTTATTCTATCTTGAAAGTCTATTTTTGCGGGATGGAACAGATAATGCTTTAATTTTGTTGAGTAGTACTATATTATCAGTTTTTACTTTTCGTTACTTAAATATTAACAGGGACGCAAATTCCTATAAAGATACGGTTTTTAATAGTATCTCGTCAGTGGTGATATATGAATATATAAATGTATGAATATGTAATTGTTAGTTCATAGATTGTGTATTGATTTGATTTTCAGAGTTGAAACACAGTTATTGACACAAACTGAAATAATTTTAGAATTAAGTTGATTTGATCGTCATTTTTAATAATAATACTACTAGCATCTTAAAAAAGATGAGATGCAAAAAGCAAGAAACAGGAAATAAAATGCACATTGTAGAACAGGTTTTAGCCTACAATGCTTTTTTTGCTGTAAGATTGCTAGCTGAATTTGTATGCTTCCTATTGTGCTGGCAATATTGCTAACTGTTTTACTAGTATGATTTTATAGAATATAGACGATATTATTATAGTTTTTGTGCTGATTGAACAGCTAGCATTTGTTTGACAAAAGGTATGTTTTTTTTTAGTTAAAATTCTTGCACGATTGATCTTTTTTATCTTTCTCTCCATGTTGGAGAGAAAACGAGAAAACAAAAATCTGTGCAAAAAATTCAACTAAAAAGAACGGTCCTAAAGAAGGCACTCTTGGCGAAGAAATAGTACAATTGTGAAGAGAATATTTTGATCACATTTGATCTAATACTGTGTTTTTATTGACTATCATAATGAGCTAACACAAATATACAAGATAAACGGCATCTCATAAAAATTCAGTAGAGCAATCAGCAAGTTATTATGGTAGTATTTCTAACATAGCAGTTAATAAGATTACCAGTAGTGTACAAGTAATCTTGTACGAAAAAAAAAGTGTATCGTAGGCCAAGAAAAGGCGAGAAATGTATTTGTTAAAAACACAATTAATATTTCGATTTTTATATATAGGTATTGGGATATACGAGCCAGGATTTACATATAAAGAAATGAAAAGACTACTCGAATTTGTTAACGAGTCTCAAGATACATCGAACGTTGCTTCCAATAATAAAAATATGCAGGAGGTATAGTTATAATTGTATACTTTATACACGTGCAACTTTGATATATATTGAAAATAAGATATTTTATATAATGAGACAGTAATGAAGGAAATTAGAAAGAAGAATAGAGTGAATTCACTATCTGAAACTTTTTAGGCAATACAACATTCTAATAATGAGTGCCTATCAAATGTTACATCCGACATGCAGCAAGAAACGACTTTACAGAAGTGTATGGAAATGCCAAGACCATCATACTCGTGTAAATTGAATCATGCGTCTTCGACTATGCACGAACGTAAGGCCGTACATTATATCAACAGTCCGGAATCTTCACCCCTTTTTGAAGCACGAAGCCCTATTTATAAGAGTTCTAGCAATGATGAGCTATTCGAGAAACAGTGTGATAATTCCAACTCCGCACACGATACAAATCTTTCATTGAGATTAGAAAATGTTTCACGGGAATACCAAAACGTGATGGAGAAAAGAATAGCGGAGGATGCGCAAAGTGAAATTATTCAGAAGCTGGAAAAATGGCGATTGAATCCGCTCGATGTCTGCATCAACGAAAACGACGTGCCTTTGCAACAGCCAAATAGATCTTTAGCTCGAGAACGTATACCGTTTGAGTATTGTAAAGAAGCGCGCATGTCCGATCAGTGTGACCAAGTAATACGATCTGTGAATCAGCATTTGAAGGAAATGGCAATCTTGTGGTACAGTTGGCGCCCCATTACCAATTCGATATTTCAATGGGGGTCACCCATTCAGGTGGGTACCTCCCTACAATCCCTCCCATATCGTTCGTATCGTTAACAAGTGTAAAGTACTTTACTTTTTGATAAGTGTAATAAATCTAATACACAGTTTTTTTTTTAAATAATTAGTATATTAGTACAATTCGGTATTGCCGTATAATTTATGTGTAGCAATTCTTTTAGGCGAAGATTTTTGTTCGGATATATTATTAAAAGCATATTCGCGTTCTATATTGTTTTGATATATTTAAGGCTCCTGAGTAGTCATCGTGGTCATATTGTCACGTCAGAAACTGACACGTTAATTTATGTTACGTACCATTTGTAAATAAAAACAATTTAGATAAATCTAAATGACAAGAGATTTAAAAAGGTACACTTGTAAAAATGAAAAAAAAAAACTGTTCTTTCTTCCCTTGAGTCAGTAAATGGTCATAAAAGGTATGTAAAGTGAGGTATGTAAAATGAATGAGCATCTATTTGGAAACACATGATTTGACAGTTGTTGAAACAAATAAAAAATACGTTTTTATGTTTAAAGTTTCAAGATAACTTTAGTTTTCGTCCGTTTTTAGAATCTTCACAAGTACGATACAAGTCATATTTTTATAATTAAACACATAATAACAAAATGGCACGTAACATAAAATTTCTTCGTCAAAATAGTCACGCCTATCAGTTCAGTTTTTTATCGTGGCGAAACGCTGTAATACACACATAAGCACGAGCCCACATCCGTGGACTCGTCTTCCACGTGAATCTCCTTCTCGCTCTAGTCGCTTGTTTTAAGCGACCAACGATGCTTTCTCAGCAATCTTGGCGTGTATCAATAAGGGGCGAGGGACATTCTAAATTAAGTTTTAATAAATTGTAGTAATAGTATATCCCTTCCATTAATGCAGAATATTATAAATCATGTTAAATCGCGATAGTTATCGAGATATTAATTATTTACGAGAGAGATTTTTTTATGTGCGTTATATATTCCTCGTTTATAAATTCAATTTACAAGAAGTCGATATGGTCGAACTCATATAAGGTGCGAGATCAGGAAGTTGGGGACTTTAAAGTTCGAATCTTGTTTTTCCTCCTTTTTCATAGTTATTTTTTCTGAAATAAGTAATCGAATTAGTAGTGAGCATATATTAGATTAAATTTATCGAATTTTTGAAATAATTCGTGTATGAAGTTTTAGTAACAACTGTAGGAAAAAATGAATTTCGTTTTCCAATAAAAAAAAAAAATTTTTTAATTGCACGACATATGAAGTCTTTTATTTGTGCATTATAAAATTATTTTGGCATTACATCCTTATAATTATCTCACTTTCAGAATTTTATTTATTATCGGAATTTTTATTTATTCGGATGACATTTTTTATTCTTTATTCGTTTATTGGATAAAAGTGATTCGGTATATTTCTCCTACAATTGTTGGTTTAAAACTTTTAAAAACATATTTATAATTTTTAAAATTATATAAAAATATATTTGGTCTCAGGGGCGGTTTGACCCCCCAGGCAAATTCTAAGGATCCTTGCGATAGGTCCGTAGGAACCTGTTGTAAGGACTTAAGAAGAAAATTGAAAACGCTTTTTTTGGAACTCTTTACATATGGGTGATTTTACTGAAAGAAACTTTTTTGCCATTATGTTTGATTATTTTTTAAAAATAAATTGCTATTTATTACTATTTAAGTAAAATAAATAAATGAAAAGATAAGTATACAAATAAATATAAAGATAAATACACATATAAATATATAAGTAAACAAGTAAACATTTAAATGAATTGCTATTTATTTGTCCATTTCATCATAATATGCATGGCATGTTTAAAATTTGTTACTTAAAATACAAGGTTTCTACTACTATTTATTCAGGGCCCTACTCCCAATCAGCTACTATATGTTAAAAATTGTTTTATAACACACACATAGTATACATAATAAATACCTATACTTTTTAATAAAAATTATTTAATGCTCATACAGCACCAAAAATTTTCAGAAATGTCTTAGAAATATTTCAACTAAAAAATAAAACATTTCATAAAATATGCAGCATTTTTTATATAGTTGTGAGCGGGGCTATTTCGTCAATTTTAATTTTAAAGTGATACAAAAATTTGTAATATCAAACAATATCTCTTTCTAATGACGTGTTTATAGTTACATTATGCAGTCATGGTTGCTTTTTAGGAGCACAAGCACAGTCTTTGAATAATCAACATGTGCTGTTCAATCGAAACACTACGAGAAAGCTCCGCTTTATTTTATTATCATTTACCCAGTGACATTTTCAGTCCCAGTTCATCCCTGTTTGGTCTAATATGTTTATTAATAACTTTACTTATTTCAGAAAAAAAATTATAAAAAAATGAGAAGAAAGCAGGATTCGAATTTAGGATCTCCGGCTTTCTGATTTCGTATCTTATGAGCTCGACCACACCAACTTCTCGAAATTCGAATTTATGAAGGAGGTATACGCGCATGAAAAATCGTACATAATTAATATCTCATTAATTATCGCGTTTTAACATGATTTATACTATTCTGCATTAATGGGAGGGATATATTGTTACTATAATTTATTAAAATTTGTATGTTATCTAGACTGCTCTTCGCTTCTTGTACTGATCTCTCTGATACATGCCAAGTGATCGAAATTGCCGAGAAAGCATTTTCGGTCGCTTGAAACAAGCGACCATAGAGTGAGACGTTCTCTCGCTATCTTGTTCGCTCTCGGCGAGTGCATGGACATGAGCTTGTGCTTGTATGTATGCCTGCCGGTTTCATCAGGTCGCCAACTGATTCGGTATTGTCACCGTGAACGCGGAGTTCTTGTAACTAAGTACTCAGAAGTTTTAAATAATTTTTTTTCATAAGATCCAATTTTGGCTATGAATTTTTGTTATTATAAGTAGCTTTATTATTAAAAAATACCCATGAAATTTTATTATTAAAAAGTTTTAAATTAGTGTTTTTAACATAAATTGTTATATTCAGGATGGAGAATTACACTATTTACTCACTCATTAAAAATCATACTATCGATCATATTACAATTTGCACAAAAAAAAAATATTTTAAACGTTTACATATTTTTTAAAAATATATTAAAATATCTTCTAGTTATGTGTATATATCTAAAAAATGCTGCAGTTACAAATATGTTCAAAGACAAAGTAACAAAAAGATAAAGTAAAAAGACATATAAAAATATAAAAATGTATGTAAATTTAAAAATATTACGAGTATATAATTCTTTCCATATGGAGTAAAATGGACAATTTTGTTTACATTACATATTGTAAACGTCTCGCATTTTCATTCTAAATTATATAGATTTACAAATTACACACAATACTCTTTATATTTTAGAAACAATAAAGGATGCTTATTTTATCTGGATCTGATTCTATTGTAAATAAACGTGTATTATATGTCATAAGGCCTTATAAGGATATTTATTACTGCAGTCAACTACACTAAACTTTTCTATTTCGCTTTTGCTAATCGTTAAAAATATATATCTATTTAATTTTAAGTACATGTATGCACTAATTATACTACATAGAACAGATCTATAGATTACTTATGTGTCATCATTCATGTAAAAAGTTTTTATAACATATTTACAATTTTCCTACGAATTGTGACATAATATACAGAAATTAATAAATACGACTTCTAAGGAATAAGTAGAGTAGCCACCAACTTAAATATATTTGTTTAAATTAAAAATATTTAAATTTAAGATTTTTTATATCATAATATAAAAGAAATGGCTGCATTTAGTAAACAAAATTGATCAGTGATTCTATAATACGATTGATTCTTGCCTTTAATTCTTCTTTGCTGAATGTGTAGGAGTTATTAAAGAAACACTAAGCTCTCACTAATCAGTTTTCTGCTAAATGCAATCAATAATTTAAGAAAAGCCTGTTTTTCATCGCTACACTAAACTGCACTAAAATTTTCTCACTTTTCGCCAAATTTTAAATACATATGTATGTATATATACATACACATATACATATATAACATATAGTTTTAAATCTTATGTAAACGAATGTATATTTGTAGAACAGATCGAATGTGTGATTTGATAATCAAAATCGAAACGGAGTCGCAATCTTGTGAAGACACACACACACACACACACCCCGCGCGCGCATACTTATAAATGAACCAATCTGAAATTCTTGGAGTAAAGTCAAATCGCGAGAGAATTTATATTGAATAAAATCATATTGATGTTACGAAAATTTTTCTATGAGCGGTTACGTTGTTTGCTCTTGTTTTCCTTTAATAAATTATTCTGGTGAAAATTTTTCTTAAAATTTTTCATACAATTTTTCAAAACTTTTATGTTAATTTTAGAATTAGAAATTTTTTATATAATTGTACAAGTTTTTAGAAAATTTTCTCGGATTTTTAAAATATGGAATTGAACACGTTTTGAAAGCGCTAAGAAGGTTTATATAATTTCTAGAATTCTTCATGTATGTAAATTTTTTGATATTCTAAAATTTTTAAGACTTATCCAATAATTTCTTAAGAAAACATTGAAATCTAAAAACGTTGAAAATATTTTTGAAGAAATCTTTATAAATTTAAAATATAATAAATTTTTAAAAAAATATATAAGATAATATGAGGATTTTTTTACCAGAGTTGTAATTTAACTTTTTCCAAAAACCATATAATACAATATTGCAATATCCAATAAGATGCATTTATTATATTTGATATTATACTTTATATACAACATAATGCATATAACTTCCATATATATTTACGGACGATGGTTCCACTCACTTTAATTTATATCAAAGTGTACATGTAAAAATTACTTGTGAGTCATTGGCATTTTTTTTGCCGAACAGACTAAGAAAAACCATACGTATATGCATATACATATGTTTGATATTTTACCATTTGATATTACTATAAAATTGGATTTATATGAAAATATGTATAATACGTGAGCGCTTACATGAATACGCAATTATTGAATAAAGCTGTAAACTGCGAAAAACATTTTTGAATAAATTATATTTGTTTAAAAAAATAGTTGTTTATTTTATTTAATCTTCTTTTAATTTTAATCCTTGTATTTCTATTATAATAGGTCAGCATTGATAACAGTAGTTTGGATAAAAAATCATTAAGAAATTCTAAAACTGAACAGATGAAAGCAGAATGTACATATCGGGATGGTTATGAGCGAGCTAGTAAACGTAAAGCGAATACTCTCATTGCGACTCTGAATAAAGATAGTTCCTCCGAGAACGAAGATGACAATCATTACAACTTTATTCGTAACAAAAAAAAGAGAATTCGATCGAATGAAAAATTGAATAATGTAGAATATGTTGAGAATCAACATGCACATACTAGTTATAAGAAAGAAAACTTGATTGCAGATAATTCTTTCAGCGATGATAATAGCAATACGAATATTGATAATGAGTACGTTAAACATTTATGCTGCTCGCCTGAATTAATCGCACATCCTAGAAGAACAAGACCTCCCAATCCTAAAATGCGTTTAAGTCTGGCTAAAAAAAGAAAGGAAAACACTACATCGAAACTAATATTTCCAAAGACGCGATGCGCTAATGAGAATAAAGATATTGAACAGGCAAGAAATCAAAAGAAAGATAATACAATGACAGAAGAAGAAATTCATCGCCTACTAGAAGAAGATTGGAGTAATGATGAGGAAAAAGTTGCAGGGGAAAAGGATGTAAAGCTTCGACCACTGCCGGTAGTAAAAGAAGTACGATCTAGATTACGAGATAAACGATTGTCATTAAACAATAAAAAAGCGAAGGAGGCCCGGACAATGGTGAAAGAGGAAAAAAGCGATGAGGAGCAAAATAAGATAAAGAGATTGAGGTTTAGCGAACGACGAAAGCTAGAAGAATTACGCAGTATAGATAATAGAAATGGAAGTTGGGAGCGTGAACTGTTGTCTGATGAGGATAAATCGTCTAAGATGAATCAAGTAAGTTGCAAAAAAATTTCACTTTTTTAATCTTCAAATATCTGATATGGTATTACTATCTTTTGTAATTATTTTTTATTTATAGTAGTTTGATTTTCAGAATGGTAATCGATCTGATAATGTACCTACATCGACGAACAATGTAAGTTGTCCTATATGTAATAAATGGTTTCCACATAATGAGATAGAAAATCATGCTGCCGATTGCGAACAATTCGAGACAAATAACGAAGACAATGATAATGACAAGGATCAATTAGAATGTAATACGTGCAGTAATTATAAGACATACAATGGAAAGGAATATGAAGAACATGTTTATCGGTGTATAAATAATAAGAATAATCAAAGACATTCACATGGTACGTTCGGTATTATATAATTTATTGTTTAATACATAGTATTTTTTATAAATATTTTATTATAATACATATTATATATAACTATCTCATTTTTACAACAAATATTTAGATTACTGTTTTCGAATACGTCAACTTTAAAATCTTGAAATTATAACAAATCTTTTGTAATCCTTTCAGTGTTTGTGATGTCTACAGATATCATACATAAGTGAGCTACTGATGTATTGATGCCATGGAGTTAATTTCATCATTTTTATAAATAAATATCAAAATTATTCGAAAATATTTTTATAGAGCTTTTTAAGATTGAAAATTTCGAATTTCTAGTCGGAATTTCAAAATTTACTAATGCAGAGTGTATGGATTTTAGGTGATTTGGGGAGCACGTAGGGGTCATTGAATTTACTTCTTTTTTTTAAAGTCAGTTTCATTTGCTGAACCCAGAGGTATAATCGAAATAGTTTTAACAAATGAAAATGTACAGTTGAAAAAAGAGAAATTCGATGATTCCTACGTGCTCCTCAAATGCATATACTTTATTGAAATGGCAACATTAAGAATTATAACATGTTTAAATATTTTATGGAATGACTGATGAATTTTTTGAACAGCTATATCTCTACCCCTTTTTATCTCCGCAGGATAAGATCCAATCAAAAATATGTTCAGACTAAAGTTGTGGGGTTTAAAAATATCTATTTATTGATCATAGTAGTTCGATCTTGGGTGGCTTTGCCAAGGTCAGATCAAGGTCACATCAATTTTTTTAATGATCTTAAAGTCGCTCGATGCTTATGATACTTGTGGTGCTAATATATACGACCAATATAGATTAGGCTTTAGGGGCTAAATACGAAGATAACCGTAATATGGGGGTCTATAATTGAAGTCGTAGCAGTTGTAGGATCTTAAGTCGTAGGAAATTGACCACAGTCGATAGTCGAATATGAAAAGAATACTCGATTATGACCGGTCAATTTTCTACAACTCGAGGCTCTATGACCGCTACGATGGTAATTTATGCCGATGAGGGGAACCAGCCTTGATGACGTTGGCCTTGACATACATATATTGTCAAGGTCATAATCTTGAGTGACCTCCAACAGGTTTTAGTCATCGCTCGTTATTTGTTAAAAAGTTATTACCCATCAAAATGAGTAATCATTTCTCCGGTTTATGTAAAAAGTTGGATGATTTTAGGTGGGAGGTTTAAGATGGATCGATTCTAGGAGTATAACTTCTTTAACGTGAGACAAGGTCTATTCTACCTTCTCCCTTATCTAATAAAGGGCACTGTTTTAACACAAATTCACTGCTTTAAAAACAACAATTCACTGGTTTAAATACACAAATTCTCTACATTACCAGTCAATTTGTGCGTTTAATTTGTGCCAATGCAGCGAATTGTTTTTAAAGCAACAGTGCGCTTTTTGGCTGGGGGGGAGCCTTTCTTGTATATTTACATGTTCACACAATAACAAAGACATACCTAAGTTGTAAATACATTCTGTATTTAGTAGCTATAGAATTCTCAAAGAGTGAACATGCAACGTGTATCTACGTACAATTAATAATTTGGAAGAATTAATTTCTTATCTTTGTGAAAAAAATGTTATTAAGCAGGTGAGTGTCCGCGATATAAGATGGTCCTTAATATTGTATGTAAATATATTTCAGAAACAACGTTATTGTTTCATTGCACGGGACAATACTATAAAGTTATTAATGGACGAAGAAGGCAAAGGAAGACATATGCAATTTTAAGTTGAGTTCAATGGAACATTTTTTCCCCTTTTTTGACTAGGCTTAGATAAAGCATGTCGGTTAATTGTTTATTTTTTGATGTTACATCGAACAAGTTACCCCGACAAGAATTCTTGCAATTTGAATTGGAAATAAATTTTTTGTAAATGAAAAATTGTGTGCTACTAAATAAAAATAAAAATTATATGAAAAATAACGTTTGCAAAGAAAATTTATGTTTTTAAAGCAGGAAATCTATTTTAAAGCAGAGAATTTTGTTCAATATTGTAGAAAAGAAACATTTTTTCATACTTTTTTTAATCAATTTTTTAACGAATGACGAGCGACGGCTAAAATCTGTTGGAGGTCACTCAGGGTCATGACCTTGACAACATATGTCAAGGTCATCAGGGCTGGCTCTCCTCATCGACATAATTACCGAAGAGACTAATATTTTAATGTGTTATTTATAGTATAAATATTGTATTCCTCTTTTTTCTATCTTTATTTAGCGATTTTATTCAACAAGATTCTTTTTCTTCATGTTGTCTAAATTTTCATTTATATTTAATTTTACTTGTGTCTTTTTCAGGTTCTGAAGATATTAATATCACCTCCACTTCATCGATCAAAACCAATCAGTGAACAGAAAAATTCTGAGATAGATTATTTGGATCAGTTTTCATCTAAGAGTAAAAACATCCAACTGGTAAAAAAAGAAAACTTTAATCGATTTCATATCTTTAAAAAATCTTCAAATAATTGTGTTTTTTCGTTTTATTTGAAACATGGAAAATTTTTTGTGTCAAATTGCAAAATGCAAATGCTACTATTGCATAGAACTGACTGATATATGTATGTATATTTTGTATTTGTATAAAAAGAGAATTATTTGTCATACGTTTATTCAATAACACAGAATGTTCCATAACTTACAATTTTTTAATAATAGATTTCCGAGCAATTTATAGGCGAATAATAATGTTGTGGAAAACTATTAGATTTGTTGCAATTTTCAACATTGTATTTCATCCTAAACTAAAGCAGAAAATTCTTTCCAAATTAAAATCTGTTCGAAATTAACTAAAAGAGCTTAATTAATGAAAGAGTATGATGCTTTTATTTTTCTGAAGCCTGGTTTGCAAATAATTTTTTACGCCTGTAATTAGATTTAAATTTATATATTTCCGTTGATAAATAATTATTTTGAAATTTACGAAAAACCAAAATAAAAATATTTATGTAAGTTAATTGTGAGACATCGATTATATTTATTTCACAACGTATTTGTCAATTAGGTTTTCTTTTTGTTTATATGGTTCCATTTGAGAGAAAAAATTAATATTTCTGCGTTTGAAAATAAATGCATAAATATTCATAGTATTCAATCTGAAACCCTCCTTTTCCACTTCACGGAAAAGAAGAACTTTGATTGGCTGATTCTCTTACGCACTATAGGTAAGTTCCGATCCGATCAAATGGTCTGTTTCCTGTTCCTGCACTAGATTGAACTAGAACTTTCTTTCTCGCTTTCTACAAATATCAAACATATACCCTATTTCACTCTAAGTTCTAAAAGTGTACACTAGTTCAGCTACAGAAAACAGACCTAAAGACACCAGCAACAGAGAATGGACTGCGCGGATCCGTGTGTCAAAATGGTCAACGAAAATGAGAGAGAGGGACTGTGGAAGACGGCCATCTCCCTCTCTCTCTCTCTCTTCCATTACACCATGGAAAAAGATAGAGATGGCCGTCTTCCACGGACCCTCTCTCTCATTTTCGTTGATATATTTTGATACTACATATACGGGATCGCGCAGTCCATTCTCTATGTCTATTTAGTAGTGTTTGAGTGCCAGTAAGAGAAATGATCATTTCTCACTCGCACTCATTTATGCGGAACACTACTAAATTCACGAGCGCTGCGAGTGTCGAGAATCGGAAACTGAACTCGAAACCTAAAATGGGTCCATTTTTATTTTATGGAGTGGAGTCTCCTTATATCTAGAGATCCTCAAGTAAAAGATACGCCAACTTCGAGATAGTGTCATACTTGTTAATACGATTGCGCCATTGGTTGCGCCATATTTTTGCGGTGTCATCAATCAATCCCGTAGCGATTTCAGTGGCGCATCTCTTGAGGATTTCTAACTTCAACTTATTGCTGTACACCCACGGTAATTAATTCTGTCCCTCGGAAATTTTCACAAAATGAAAAGTGACCTCCTTTCTATATTAATTGTCACTATTCATGCACGATAAAGTTCAGTCGTAACGTTAATCGTGCATGGATTGTGACAATTAACCCTTACTAGTCTAACGTTTTTTCGGCACCTTTAATGGTCTAACGTGGGCCATTCGTGTCTCGGCGTTTTTTAGACATGTTAAAGGGCTTTAAAAAATCTGCAAAAATTCATGGACCTTCATTAATTCTTCAATTTCAAGAAAAAAAAATTTGTATGTCGAAAATAATTATTTTTGTATATAATTTTGTATTAAAAATGGTGGTACCGCGTGTAAAATCACTCGATCACTTAAAAAATCATAACTTCAATCCAAATGAAGCTATCGACATAAATCAAAGTGGAAATTAAAGGTGAAGAGTGTACCTTTTAAGGGACTTGAACGACCCACGTTAGACCATTAAGGGTTAATATAGAAAGGTGGTCATTTTTTATTTTGTGAAATTTTCCGAGGGACAGAATTAATTACCGTGGGTGTACTAGTTTAGACAGTGCAGGAACAAAAAACAGACCCAGTACCACAGTAATTTTTAGAGACCCTATACCAGAGTCTGGACACAAGAGAGACAATTTCTGATTGGTCCGTCGTTTGTGGCAACTCCCGCTCTAATTCAAACGTCGATAACCTTATAAATTCATATAGGATAGAAATGTATACATAAACTTTTAGAACATTTTTATTTTTTTAACGAATATTAACTAACTTCACAAAAAAGTGAATTGTTTGTTGGTACCCGCAATCTTCTCGGTTAACATTTTTTACCCATATAACTCATCGTTCAGGATTTTTAAGAAATCTTTTCATTGCGTATCCTTTGACAGCTGAATTATTACAATATTACTATTTTTACTATAAATATTTATTTAATGTTATTATTTTTAATATTTAATACATCGACATCGATGATTTAATATTTTTTACGCTGTTAACTTAAATGAAAAAGAATATACAAATATATACATTACATTAAGGTTAGAATTAATAGACGAAGATAGTGTATATATATATATATATATATCTTTCTCTCTCGTAGCATTTTGCCACAATCGCGCTTGTGTCCAGACTCTGGTATAGGGTCTCTAGTAATTTTGAAACAGTTGCGGCAGTACATTGTTATGACGTCACGTTTACTGCACTGCCAGTAAAAACGGAACATATCCCATGTTTTATGCGTTAGGGCTGCGCACAATGGAGGAACAGATATTAGTTATTAAAATATTAACCTATCAGATACCAGTTACACCGGAATACACGATTCTGATAGGTTAATATTTTAATATCTAATATCTGTTCCTCCATTGTGCGCAGCCTTAAAACCGCAGCACACACTTTCGCATAAAGCATGTGCATAAGGAATTTCATTGGCCCATTTTCTTATGCATGAGTCAATGGACCAATCAAATTCTTTATGTATATGGTTTATGCGTTATGCAAAAGTCTGTGCTCCCCGCTTAAGCCGTTTGACAGTATCATATGCGTCTATTAAGGATGCGTGTAGAAATGTAGTATAGCGAAAACTGTAATAGCTATATGATAAAAGCCGAGGAATTCTACGGAGTGGGACAATCTGAGCCTTGATGAGGCTCGAAACGAGTTTGACAGCGTCTGTAGTTTAACAACGTCATGTTTATACTTAAATCTTAGGTTATGTTTGTTTCTGATACGGTATTTTTTCATACTATATTATGTTGAAATCAAGGTGAGTGTTCCGAGCGACTCCAATAATTATCGATGATCCTTATCCTTCAATTTATATTTTTGCAGAAAAGCAAAAATTATATTGTGATAATGATATTGTAATTGAGACATATGGATGCTCTTTGTATCTGGATGATTGACATATGATACATGATGACTTACTAACAATTTCTCTGTTCGAGGCTTTATAATAAGACGGTATATTTCAAATTATCCTTTCAAATTTTGTTCATTATGCAATATCAGGCAGTGTTAATGAGATAAACCTTTTTTCAACTATTATAATAGAGTATTAAACACTGGATTTTCATAGCTAAAAAAGTTATCTATTTTAAATATTTAGTTATTGATATAAAATTCTATATAATGTACTTATTCTTTAGTAATTTTTTTAAAGGGTGTTTTTGAAAGAAGTATGGAGAAAAAAAGCTTTCATAAAAACAGTTTCAAGTTAGTCATAAAATTGAATGGAAAGCCATTGGACTCAAACTTATAAATTAGTATCTTTTGACATTGTATCTATATATAGAAATATTCCTACTGAGTTGACAATTGACTATTAGAAGTATTAAAGAAAGATAGGATTCTGTCTCTAAAAGCATAACTATTCTAATTAAAGAATTTTTAACAGTAATTTTATTAATATTAAATTACATTTTTTTCAAATTTACCAACTAATACTATAAACAAATTTTTGCTCATAGGTTTTCCGCTATCCCTTATCTTAGTAAATCTTTTACTGCAGAAGATATGGATAGTGACATTTTTATATATAATACCACCAACATTGATATTTCTTTCTATTTATTACTATTATGTGGACGATAACTTATTAGTAGTTCCAAAGACCAAATAAATGTGATTTTAAATATATGTAACAGAATGTTAACAGAATGAAATTCATTGAAGAGAATGATGATGGTATTATGAAAAAGAAGGAATATTTTATCTTGGTCTAGGAATTATGTCTATGCAACGATAAATTCTAAACTAAAGAATGTAATAATAAAAATTAAAAATTTTAATGAATAACAATTGTCATCTAAAACTGTTGAAGGTCACTAAAGTTATGATCTTCACAACTTATGTCAAGGTTGAGGTCATTGGCGGTTGCTTCTCTTTTCTGTAGTTTTATCACACAAATTTTGTATTATTAATCATATTTTTAATTGTTTCAGAATTTTTTTTACTTTGCAAATATGACACGCTCACACGTAAAGTACCAAATTGCTAAAGATGATGTCGATACGTCCGAGTACTTACCACAAAATATTCCAGATTTCCAAAATGTGACGAAGACAGAACCCACATTTTGGAGGAAAGCATTCCATATATTTTTGTTGATCTCTGCTTACTTTATTTTATCAATAGGCCTTACATTTTATAATCCATGGCTTTATAATGTATATGTGAGTAATTGATAATTAAACATTATAATCTTTTCATCTATCTAGTTGTATTGTAAGGAGAAAGTAATAAATAAAATCTCTCAAAGGGTACATAACTATGTACGCATTTGTGATTACACGCATGTGTAGTAGGGAAAAGGCACTCTTTGGTTAAACATTTTTTGTTTTAAAATTTCCTGTGCATCAGAGATTTGTGAAGTTTTTGATATAAAACTACAATTCGAGAGAGGTGGCAGTTAAATAAAGTTGTCAAAAATATTGAAATTTGCCGTTATCAAATATATTATACCGAAACAAGTTGAAATAAGTATATTTTTTGTTTTTTATTTGAAGGATATATCTCATGTTACTTTAAAAAAATTTTCTATTGTTTAAATTGAGTTTAAAGGTAGTAAAAATAATACGTATTTAAAAAAACATATTTAATTAAAAAATTTTTTTAGATATGATATTTCAGTTAAAAAAATATTGATTTTAATAAAAATATCAAATGACTTAAACCTTATAATACAGAAAGTACATAATAAAAAAATTTTATTATAGTGTTTTGAAAACGTATTTCTATCATCCACAGGAATATGCAATAAACACTTATTTAAAATTTATTTCGTTTTTAACAAACGTTGTTCAACAAAATTAATTATGTTGCTTTATTTAATATAAATATTAATAATTTAATACTCAAGTTCATTTACAAAGAGTATCAAGGTATGAATCATTAAAGATTTTATTTATTTATTTTTTGTCTTGCTTTTTTAAATTTTGTGTTCTTTTTATCAATATGAAGTATATTACTTCGGTATAGTAGGGCTTCAGTAATTTACTACAATTATACAATTTAATAATTTGAATGTTAATAAGCATTCAAATATAGTAGATTATTGATTTATATATATGTATGTCTCTTCTCGGGGTTACAATTTCATATTTATGTACATATTTACACACATCTACGCTCTTAAATTTTTATCTAATTCACTTTACTGATACACTAACTTAAAAATTAACTTAAAACTAACAGGACCTAACTCACGCACGCACGCACGCACGCACGCACGCACGCACGCACGCACGCACGCACGCACGCACGCACGCACGCACGCACGCACGCGCACACACACACACACACACACACACACACACAATGTTTCATATTTATTGTTCACCTTGACATCTAAAAAAAATATTTTAAACAAATGTTATATAGTCTGTGTATGTTTGTCTATAGCTATATATTAGAAGTTGTACATGACTTTATTATTATAATCGGAAAATTTACTGTCTTAGAAGAATCTGTATTTAAATCCTTCATAACATGTCTAAAAAATAAGATATATTGAAATTAAAAAAATACATTTTATAGCAATATATTCATAAGTTTTAATTGGAATTTCAAGAGAACATTAACTTTCTGTACAAAAAATGTCAAATATCATCAAAAAAACTATTCTTTGAACAAACTTCAATTACTTTGGAAACCTGACGTACTGGAACTTTTTGGAGTAGGATAGAAGGACCGGTTCTAATCCATTACATGTTAGTGTGTATACATATATGCAGTATATATGTATGTGTGTGTGAATGGTCAGGGAGGGAAAGTGCATCACAGACGTTGGAGAAGGGAAGTGCGTTACCGGGGTCCATGATAGAGGGGAAGGGTACTCTTTTCCTTGTCTCTCACCCGTTGCGTTCTCTCTCTTTAAGCCGGTTGTCCTCTCTCTGCTATCTATTAGAGGATGCGTTGTTCTCCCTCTGTTCCACCTGTTGTAGTCCTATACTTATCATATTATTCTCGCTCTCGCTTCCTCCCGTTGTATTCTCTCTCACGTTATTTTTTCTTCTCGCACGCGATTTAATTATAAATAGCTATAATATATATTTTATAAATATTTAATAATATAATCTAACAATTAATTATAATATGTATTTTTAGTAATATAATACAAAATATGGCCAAGCGCACTTTCTTATCGACTTAATTTGATACTTTTATTGAATCTACGTACTTTTACTACTAAATAGCTATCATTATTGATTGATTCTTAATCATAGGGAAACGGGGCAAGAAATTAAAACATATTTAAAAAAACATTTCACACTTTATTTTTCATATTGATACAATTCTTTCTGGTGTTGTGATCATCAGTTGTATATTTTAAATACGTACAATTCTTAACATTTTTTCTGCATCACATAGTATTAGCGACATCTAGATTATTCAATGATTCTATGTCTTCGTAATACTTTTGTTTTAATTATAGAACTTCGCAAATTTTGAAAAAAATTTTGAGATCTAATGCATATTCATTTATGTTTGTGTAACTTCATAAAATATCAGTAAAATCGTTTTTTAAAGTAGCAATTTGGAAAATAGAGATTTCAAGCTGTAAAATGCTTTTTTAAACATCTCGTTACTGTATAAAAAGTATAATTTTTGATAATTTTTAACAAAGTTATTCTATTTTGAAATTTGCTTATTTTTGCAGGGCAAAACAAGTGATTCTTTCATTTTTTTGAGTAGAGTATATATATATACATACAATATATTTATTTATTTATTTATTTATTAACACAACTTGTATAATATTTTTAGGGTTTTAATTTTCCCCTTGGTGTGGTAGTTTGTCATTTGGTCATAAAGTTTTCATTATCTGCATTAATAAGAGCTATTAGAAGATGTTACAGTAGTAAACGGATAAATCTTCTATGGCAGAATATAATTTACTCAATAATGGTACCTGGCATAGCTAGTGGTGTTGATATTGGTTTATCAAATTGGGCACTTTCATTGATTTCGATATCTTTGTAAGTATAATTTAATAGCAATAATTAAGAAAGTTATTACAAAATGCACATGACATTTCTTTCTAGAGTCACTATGACTAAGTCAACTACTATTATATTTATTCTTGGGTTTTCTCTTCTGTTTAAATTAGAGAAAAAGGTAAGGCTGAGATTTTCAGTAAAGATCTGTGATATTTCATAAATATATATTAAAGATATTTTTATATAATAGGTAAATAATAATTACTGTTTATTGTAGTCATGGTCTTTAGTAGGGATAGTAGCGATGATAGCAGGAGGATTAGCGATGTTTACCTATAAATCTACTCAATTTGGCATTCTTGGATTTGTATTGTGTCTCTTAGCATCATTTGCGAGTGGTATTCGATGGACTATGACACAACTCATTATGCAAAGATCCAAATTCGGTCTCCATGATCCGATAGATATGATGTATTATATGCAACCTTGGATGCTGTTACCAGCAATATCAGTGACTTTATGGTTTGAAGGTAATTTTGCATTTCATAGAATTCTATAATTATAGAATTAATTTTAATTAATTATAATACTTACTACAATTTTTTTATTACAATATTTAACAATTTTTGTTAAATATTTACTTTAAGGAAGGCAAACTCCGATGACTTTGACATATGTTGTCAAGGTCATGATTCTTAGTGATTTTTAACCAGTTTTAACTGTCACTTATTATTTTTATTTAAAAAATATTAACTATTAAAGTTTGTAATTATTTTGCCATTTTGCTCGGATGATTCTAGGCAGGGAAAGATATGGTATAGATCGACTATGGAAGTACGACTTTCCACGTGAAGCGAGGTCCATCTTACTTCCCTTCCTGTCTAGGGGCGTACAACTTTCTACGCGGTCCGGTCCTCCTCTTCCCCCGCTTAAGGGAATTTTTTTAAGGGAAAATTTCTGTTTTATGTGATAGAAAAGACCATTTTTCAAATCTTTTTTTATTAATAACTTTTTAACCAACAGTGATCGTCATTTAAAACCTGCTAAAAGTCACTCAGTGTTATGACCTTGACAACATATCAAGGCGACTTCCCTTTTCTGAATATTTACCTGACTTTTTATGGATAACTAAGGTTCCACACAAGAGTAAAAAAGCTGAGCTTTTTACATCCTCCTTTTTCGATTTTTTAAAGATATACTCGTATAATTGATTACCTGTTTATAGGATTACGTATTTTAAAAACAGATGAAAATTACATTAGTGAGCAAATTCAATACGGTATTGAATAGGATGATGAAATTATAAATATTATAATAAATTCTAGTAAATCATTTTTGTAATTTTCAGCTTATTTCAAGTTTCAAGATACGTAATCGACTTCTAGTAAGTTTTCAGAGAAAACTCCTCATCTGTAATATTCTAGCATTTGTCATTCTAGCATCATCTTAAAGATATGTTCAATTTTAGGTAGCAAAATATACGATAGTGTTAGAATTACTGATTGGGGCAATATCAGTAATATTTTATTAACTACATCTGCTGTAGTAACAGGTGCCATTTTAGCATTTAGTATGGAAGTGATGGAATTCTTAGTTGTTACTTATACCTCTAGTCTAACATTGTCGATTTCGGGAGTATGCAAGGTAAAGTTATTAATAATTTAATTATATTAATAAGTTAATTTATATTGTACTCTGTATTGTAATATATTTGTGTTTTTCTTTCCAATAATTAAGAATGGATTAAAATAGATTGAAATTTTTATGCATATTTTAAGTCCAGTGAATCTCCAATAAAAAGGAACTGTTTTTAAGAAATTTGATTCAATTGGATTCAATAATTGTATTTTCTATTCAGATTTTTTAATTAATCAGAATTCATACATTGCACAAAAAAAAACTAATATTTTTAGGCACATTGAAAGGCACAGAAATGTACGTTTATACAATATACGTTTCTATGTATATACATATAATAATGTAATTTCTATAAATGAATAGAAATACATTCGGATTGAATAGGATTTATTTTTACGTTCGTGAATGCATATTTCTGGAAATCTGAATTTGTTTCAATCCATTCTTGTTTTTGAGGTCTCTATTAAAAACAATTATAACAAAATCAGAGAATAAAAAGTTATTTTTTAAAAGTAACTATACTCACCTGCAAAAAAAGCCTTAAGAAATTGACTAATTACAGTCAAATACGAGGAGAATAATTGACTGTAATTTGTCCATTTCTTATAAGGCATAAGGCTTAAAAATTTATTATAGATTCGGATTAAAAATTGAACGCCTAAGTCTTAAGTTTTTTTTATGTGCCAAGGCCTTCAAATATTATAAGACATTGTCTTTTAAAATTACCATATAAATCAGTCATTATGCTGTTAAGGTTTTGAATTAAGAATTATAAATACTGATGAATTGTTAATACTGACCAAAGATTGAATGTATAAAAAATTATAAACAATAATTGAATAAAGGCCGAATGACGGTCAAGCAAGATTTAGGTTGCTACAGTAATGTGTGAATTTTATTTACCACGTATGTAGTCTTCTTTAATCGCGCGCCGAAATATTTTCAGTCTTTTACAAACGCAACTCTAAATAACTACCGTAGTAATATCACTAGTTAAATTGATACGCAATCTAACAATAGCTTATAGCATCTTATAGGATCTTAATAATATGTTGAAAGACATATATTAAATTTTAATGATTTGTTATTAATTAATGTAAATTAAATTAACAACAAATCAAATTCTGTGAAAAATAAGATTGCGACGAATATCACAAGTTGGCGTTTCGTCCAATCAATTTAACTAGTGATATTACTACGGTAGTTATTTAGAGTTGCGTTTGTAAAAGACTGAAAATATTTCGGCGCGCGATTAAAGAAGACTACATACGTGGTAAATAAAATTCACACATTACTGTAGCAACCTAAATCTTGCTTGACCGTCATTCGGCCTTTATTCAATTATTGTTTGAAATTCCAACGGTCCTACAAATATTGTAATTTTATAAAAAATTATGTCATATAAGTTCAAAATATAAAACAACAATTGACAAATTATGTCAATAGATTCAAAATATAAAAAATAACGATAAAAGTAACTGTAAAATTTGTTACCATTGTATAAAAAAAATGTAATTACCGTTATAGTTATGAAAAAGGTAATATCGTTATCAGTTTGTTACAAAAAAGTAACTTATGAAGGTAACAGCGTTACAAATAACGCGTCTTTTTTCATTCCCTGAAAAAATACAAGATTAGGTATTAAATTAATTAATATACATATCGAAAAAGTTACATAGATAATAAATACTAATGAGCTATTCCGTGTGAAGCGGATTAGCATTTCTAAAAAATTTTTTTAATTTTGTAATTTTGTGTTCTGGGAGATAGAATTTCGTGCCAAACTTTTTCTTCTATTTAGCTAATCTTCAATTTTTCTATCTTTTTCATTTTAATAACTTTTTACAGGAAATATGTATATTAGCCTTGACCTTTGTGTTAAAAGGCGACCAACTGACTGGCCTTAACTTTGTAGGATTGTTAATGTGCCTTGGTGGTATAATACTTCATGTTGTTCAGAAAGTATTACTTAGTAGAAAAAAAGCAGTTGATAATATGGAATTGCAATCGAAAGTGACAAGCAACAATGCTAAACGCGAAGAGGAAACCGATTCAAATGTGCCATTATTGATAGAAAAATCGACATCTTTAATAAATCTTCTCAATGCTGAATTTAGCTCAGATGAAGATGGTAATGTGAGAGAAAGTGATAACTCGACCCAAATACTATCAGATATTTTGCAACGCAGAGAAAAGTAATATATCATAGATTTTTAGATCTGATGAATTATTTTTTATTGAGAAGATTTAATTGTATTTTTATGACTTATAATATTTTAGATTTTTTCAGTGTAAATTTTACAGTCAATGTAGTTGTGGACATTATAAAGAATGAACCTCAAAAATATTTGCTTTTAGCCTATGTATTTTGTCACCTTTAAATTTAAAATTGAACAGTATGCCATATAATTCCACATAACACGCAATATTAGAAATATCGCAGTAATATTGCAATATAGTATACGAAATATTACATATTACAGTATGATGTCACAGAAATATTACTGACATATTACACGTTGACCAAAATTGACCAAATTTTTTTAAAATTCTTTAATGATTTAATTCTTCCCAATAAATGTTACATTGAAATATTACAGTAATATTATAACAATATAACATGTCTTAAATAGCAGAATGACATAATTAATAACCAATAAACAAGAAGAAGGAAGCTAATAACGGTCAAAGATGGATCACAATTATTATAATTATAATTATGTGTGAATTTTATATATTGCGTATGTAGTCCCTCCATATAAATCGATTTATATGGGAGGACTACATACGCAGTATATAAAATTCACACATAATTATAATAAGCATTGTGATTCAGCTTTGGCCGTTATTGGCTTCCTTCTTCTTGTTTATTGTTTATCAATTGTATGGTCCTAAAAAGATTTTAATATTTGATAATTAATAATGTTTTTATGATGTCTTCTTGATGTTAGAAATTTCATTAAGACGTTATTAAGATATAAAAAAATTATTACATACCATAGATATATATGGTACACACATAATTTTATAAGTGTATATATTTTTTTAATCAATATTATTTTCCAATTAATATCGTATAAAATAATTTTTAAAATGACATTAAAAATATTAATTTAATAAATTAAAAAAAATTTTTTTTAATGATTTAATTCTTCCTAATAAATGTTACAATAAATAAATATAAATATTATAAACATATTTTTTCGTATCTATATTTATTTTCGAGAAATTCGGCAAAAATTACTTGGGGATAGTTTTACCCCTTCAAGAGGCTCCTAAAGTTTGTTTTATGGATTATCAAATAAATTTTTCTAACTGCCTTTATTAAACGTTCTTTTCTACAATTAAAGTATAAACGATAATATGGTCCGAAATTAGTCGATTTTATGCCAAACACGAAAAAATGTTATAAAATTACAGTTTTTTTTATCGGTTTCTAATGTCAAATCGTAATAATATTTACATTATATAAAAGTTTTGTACTTTGTATATATAAAATAAGTTCGATTTGAACTAGGGATTACAAGAACAAATATTGAGTTCCTAGAATTAGACTTAAATAATAAGAAAGATTAGTTCGAAAATTTATACGTATGTCTGCGTGTGATACGATGTAGTGTGTACTTATAATATGTACACTAAATATCAATGATATGTAAATCATATACGTGTAAATTCTGTTGATTCGATAAAACAAACGATTTTAGAATCTCCTTAAAAAAATTAAACAACAGAGAGGTAAAAAAAACCATTCTAATTTTAGTCAAAATTCTACAGTTGTTAAGGAAGCATTAATTATCTTTTTGTGTTTGTCCGCTTGAACAATGTTGAAAATATTAGAAAATTAATTATTTTTATTCCTGATATTTTCAAAACTACTCTTATGCTCAACTTAAATTTCTTCTGAAATTAAATCCCATTATATAGCTATATAGTATCATATGGCATATAGTCCAGTTTGAAATTCGAGGGCTAGAAAATAGATTTGGAGTCAATCTTTATATTACATGTTTATAAAATTTGATGTACCAAAAATAACACAAAATTTTTGATGTTTTGGAATTAACGTTTTAAAAGCGGTTTTAAGTACATACTTTTTAGGTAGCTTAAAAGAGTTTTCTAAATATGTACGACCTAGAATAAAAAACAAACTTGGAAAGAAAAGGGCACTAGGAGTCAAGCGCAGATAACTTTACGCAACGCCGATCTATATCAAGCAAATCTATTTATTACAACAATTGTGCTTACATGTTTCGGCTCATTTTTTAGTCTTTTTCAGAGACAATGCAAATAAATTATAATTTAAAAATAACAAAGGATCGAAAGATGTTTAGTCGTAGTGAGCTCCTCCACAACCGAGAAATAAAATCTGATGATAATTTCATCTTAAAGAACACAATAATATGAATAATAAAAGAAGAAAGGAAAGAAATAAAATATAATTCTGAAATTCTGGGAAAATAATTTCCCAGAATTTCCTAGAAAAATAATAATTTCGAAATTAGATTTATCATAATTACAATTATTTTACCGGGAGTGAGGAGGCTCACCATGTTCACAACGATCGATACTGTATTGCAAACACTCTCAAAACCGATTTTCAGAATAATTTAAGCCAGTCAGTCTCAGACACAGTGAGTCACGACAAATTGTTTGACGGTATTAAATTAAATTATCAAATCGCAAATATCAAACCGGTTTTGAGAGTGTTTGCGATACAGTATCATTATGAACATGGTGAGCAGTTATTCCCGGTAAAATAATTGTAATTATGATAAATCTTATTTCGAAATTATTATTTTTCTAGGAAATTCTGGGAAATTATTTTCCCAAAATTTCAGCATTTTATTTATTTCTTTCCTTTCTTCTTTCATTATTCATATTATTGTATTTCTTAAGATGAAATTATTATCAGATTTTATTTCTCGGTTGTGGGGGAGCTCACTATGATTAAACATCTTTTGATCCTTTGTTATTTTTAAATTATAATTTATTTATGTAATTTTCATTGTCTCTGAAGAAGGCTCAAAATGAGCCGAAACATGTAAGCACAATTGTTGTAATAAATAGATTTGCTTGATATATATCGGCATTGCGTGAAGTTATATGCGCTTGACTTCTAATGCCCTTTTTTTTTCTAAATTTGTTTTTGATTTATACAGGAGTTCTTGTTGTCTAAGAATTATTATATGTTTTTATGACCTAGAATATTAAACGTATCACGATTTAATTAACGATATAATATATTTGCTGTGAAACGTTAAATGTAAGATTTTTTCCTATATACTTCTACATATTGTTATCATGTAAGAAGAAGATACAAATATCTTAAAAAATTACGAAGTACAAAAATAAAAGCGTGAAGTTAGTTTTGTGGTGTTAATGTAATATTGACAGAAAAACGTCACTACGTCTAAAGATTTAGCCCCGTATTCAGAACGCACTTTTATCGATAAAAGCGCGCTTTTATCTCTGAAATTCTATAGTATACTGTAGCATGTTAGCGCGCTAACATCGTTGTTAGCGCGTTCTGAATATGGGCCTTATTGTTTTTTTTTTAAACGTTATGAATAAGAGCTTTATTATGCAATACATTAATTTGTTTAAATTTCGTGTATGTGTACGTGCATGCGTGTGAGGGTTGGCAAAAGACTCGGTAAAAGATATTTTTGTTAAAAACAAAATATTGTTTTTTAAAACATATTTTTAATGCTTTATACATGATTTAAACAGTATTATAAAAATAATATGTTTATAAATTATGATTTTTATCACATGCCCTGGACATGCGCGCAGGGTGTATGCAGAAGCGCACATTATTTTAGAATGCACATTCTAGAATAATATAGTTATAATTTAATATTTATCTTCTTATAAGGAGAACGCACAATATATAATAAATTTAAACGCACTAATTAAGTGTCAAATGTGATGAAGTATTTAAACAAATACATTTTTGACTATATCTCATGTGCATTTCTAAATTATTGTAAACTGATAATAGTGCGACAAAAGAAAAACACCAGTTATAAGACTATAGTTATTTTCCGTGCTTTTTGGACGCTGAATACGAATTTCATTTTCAAGTTGTTCCATCACGTAACAATTTTGAAAAATGTGTTTCAAGTTGCCAAAAGGGTTATTTTTACATATTTTGTTATATTATAACTACGATGTGTAATGCACTGAAGAAGTTTCATTGCGATAATTATTTTGTTTAGAGGAGTCTCTTCTAATAATCATGATCTTGACATGTCAACGTCATGATCCTGAATAACCTTCAGAAGGTTTTAGCCTCTTCCGTTAATAAGTTATTAAGAAATAAACCTTATTTTCTGATAGTTACAATATTAAGAATTATTTCTCTCACATACGTAATAACTTTTCGAAGCACGATCCATTCCATTCCCCTCCCTGTCCAGGGTCGCACAGCTTCCTATGTGAAATAAGATTCACTCGTATAAAATGTCAAGCGCTTCTAGGCTTGACTTTTAATAAAGGGAGTTGGCGTGGATCTTTGCATCACTTATTCGCGTATAAAGTCGTACTCCCTCCCTAGACAGAGGGGAGTTAATCGAAGTATATATGTGAAAAACAAATCTTCTTTTTTTTTTACGATCAAGTTCTGTTTTTATTTTGACAGTCAAATACATTAATCGACATTTTCAATGTTACATCAAAGCCCCAGGATAATTTTATGTCGAGGAAAAGTGAAGGAAAATCAGAAGAGAGCATGGAAGGACGCAACGGATCGCTCTTATGGTTATCATTCTGAAACGCGTACCACAAGTCGGAAGCACTTGAATGAATCCCAAATGTGAGTTAACGTCGATATGGAGATACTATTAACTGTCTTGTATTTATCGATTCCTTTTTTTTAGGTCAAGAAATTTAATCCTTTTGATCAAGGATCGGACCCATACGATTTTTGGAAATGAGGAATGAAGAGGGTAGCCGAGTAAAATAATAATTAACTAATAATCTTGAATTATTTATTTTTCAATGACTATGCAATGGGCGACTAAATATATATAGATATTTTCTTAATGAAGATACACACAGATATATAGGGTGTTATGCAATTTTTGGCAATTCTTGTGTACATAGAACGGACTAAACGGTCGAAAAATCCTCTATTTTGCATTTTTCATATTACTTAACGAGATATATGTCTCGCTGCATCGCGTCGAGGGACTCGCGTCAATGATAGCTATGCACATTTGCGATTACATTACATATGTAATAGAAATACTGCAAAAATAGGATAAATACAAATCATAATAAACTTCTATGAATATAAATGTCGAAAGAGAGAAAATGATAGAAATCTACGAAATATACAGAAAAATATAATTAATTTATATTATAATTCTGTCGGTGCGGCGAGACATGTGAATGGCGGCGACGCCGTGATGGTTGAATAACGACGCGTTTCCTCTCTTGCCTCTAACGCGCTGCCAATGCAACTCATGTTTGAAAAAGTGAATTGAGCTGTACCTCGAGCGACTGGAGCGTTTCTCAAAACGCGCTCTCATTGTAAAAATTTCAAAAATTTCTATATTAATATTGCGAGAATCGTTAAACGGTGTGAGATTCTTGTATTCATTTCGATCCTATGTACCTTCCAGTGCGAGGTTGGAGAAGTCTCACGGGATATCCCGTATATAATATACATATATATGTATATATATAAAAATTTAGTCTTTATCGTAGCCAATTTTTACAATTCACGTTTGTTACAAAATGGCGTTTAAGTGAATATAAGAATGCGAATTATTGCCTCAAAAATTGATCGATTTTTTTGCTGCAAAAACAAAACTGTAAGGCTTAAAATAATCTTATGATAAAGACTGCATACTTCCATGCTGAATAAATAGCAAAACTGAGTTCGATCCGTCCATTCGTTTTCGAAATATTTTGGGTATCGATTTAAAAAATGGTTTTGAGAAAAACGCGTTCAAAGTTTATATTTAGCGATATATAGAGATTTCTTTTGACTTATATAGGATCATCCAAAGAATGGATGGGAATCATCCATTTCAAGGTTAATTAACTTAAGTAAGATCGCAACGGTCAAAATCCCGTTTGCATAAGTAAGGGACAAAGCATCTCAAACAATAGAAACTCCTACTGACATGTATGTACAGGCGAATGAACAACGAACGGAGTCTTGAGCTCAGTGTAGATCGTCTAGCAGTACTCGTTTGGCGTAACGCATATTTCTTTAACATGCTGTAACTTTTTATTTTTTCGTATTGAGTTAAAACTCAAGGAAAATAATCTTAAGATTTCAATATTATAAGAAAATATAAAAATTAAAAAATCGATTTTTTTAACCCATCTAAGTGGGTATGTAATCTCTTAACAGTATAATAAAATGTATAAATTTATACAATATAATAAATGTAAAAATTTAATCCGTTTTTATATTTATATTAAACACAATTTTACGTCAATCTATGTACGATATGGCTTTAATATGCATCAATGTACACTGAGTACATCCAATCAAATTCGCTGTAAGTCAACGTAATCATATTAAATTATATCAATAAACAAATCGGACACAGGTTTGTTAATAAATAATTTATTTTATAAATTATTTTGTATTTCGCGGAATGTCTTATTATTTGCAATATATCTTTTTAATAAATATAATGCATAATTATAAAAGAATCATATATGTGCTTTTCAAATAGTTACTATTGTGCAATTCTAAATTAGTTGTAGATAAGAAAAGTAAGATCAATTCATGATAAATTTGAAATAAGTCTGTAATTTGTCAATTTCTCACAAATAAATTACAACAAATACATATATTAGATATATATTCTCACCAACAACGAAGTATGAATATACAATATTTATTGTTCAACTCGTCAAAGAAAAGTACCGTGAAATCTCGTAATTTAACATATTCTATCACAACCGTTTCTAAAGAGATGGACCAAATCATATAATATGAAACTATTATTTATACATAATGTCCTTTATAATCATTGTTATCTATTATGCAATAAACGAAAAAATGTTGTTGAACCAATTTCTATTACAACAAGTAAAACACAATGCAATCATCTTTGCTAGTTATGCGATGCTTATTTTAATATTGATAATAAACAACAATCACTTTTATCTTTTATAAATAAAATAACAGATTTATTTTTCTTGTTTATTTTGTTTTATTTGATTAGTTTTTTTAGATTTGGCTTCAATTCTGTTTTCCAGTTTGTGAATCAATTCGTCTAATTCATCCTAATAAACATAAATTAAGATGTAATTACTCTTAAAGAATTTGTTTGTACACTCTAGCGTACTTGTATATAAATGACATACTAATTAATTGGTTATATAAGTTGTACTTACTTCATCATACGTGTACATGAGAGTACAATGTTTCAAAACCTGCTTCTTACAATTAATTAAGTGCAAGGCATGCGGCAAACAATAAACGCTGTCATCTCGAGAATTATTTACCAAAGAGACAAACAAATTGGCTCTACATGTCTCACATTCAAAGTCACCATCATCCTCTTTCACTTTTTTCCCTTTCTTCCCTTTTCCATTAACTGGTAAAGGCAATCTTTCTCTATTGATAAGACCTACATTTTCCAGCTGTTTACGATAATCTAATTCTTTTTCACAAATCTTTATTACACTCGGTAATATCTAAAGATATAATATTATGATGTAGTGCTGAGTACTTAAAAAATTTATGTATTATCTATATTTTAATTTTTAATGTTATTCTTCTAACAATTACAGTATAAATTAATTCCTACCTGTTTCAATATATCTATGTGCGATCTCGTATCATTAATAATATTAAATAACAATCTTTCAAATGAAAAAATAGAAGGTTCGCAACTATCTTGTATATCCTGAAAAAAATTTTTTTATACAAACAAATATACAAACAATACATATTTTTATATACAAATAATAATAAATTCGTAATTAAAATTAAAAGGCTAAAAACCTCATATGAAAAATTTTATATGTTACATATACCTTAAATACTTGTTCTGCAGTTTCTAACCAGGATGGTTGTGCGAAATATACGCTTTCAGATACAACATAACCGGTACATATGCTTGATGTGAACGCTTTTGGAAATACTATTATAAATTGTCCTGGTTCTTGTACAGTCTGACATAATGGTACATTATTGCTCACTAATAATTCCGGTGGAACCATAGCAGTATCAGAAGGTAACCATATCGTCTTATTTTTGCAATATTGTGGTACCATTTTCGAGAGCGCTTTTCGGAAATTATTATTATGCTCATCAGGTATCCCATACCAAATTTTTTTGGCGCCTGTGTGTAGATACTCTATCCATGGTAGACCATGCGGATCACGGTACCAACAACAAGCGCTGAATAACATACCCACATGCAATGTTGGTACGGTCACACCTAAAAATATAGACTTCGTTCATATAAAAATGTACACATCTTTATTGAAAAAAAGCATAATAAAAAATGAGAACCTTTGAACCGTCGTTTATTATTTATCTCCATACAAATAATTGTAAATCTGGATTAATATATGCATTTATGTATATTGTGATATATTGTACGTATATTCTAAGGACATTCTCTGTTAAGTCACCCCTTTTGTTCAAAATTCAACTCAATCGAAACTTTTTCTGAGCTCAAATGATAGGTACACATATCTACTTTCTCTTACATTCTAGAATTTTTGGAAATTCAATATGATAGATCCAACATGATGGCTATAGTTCGCGAACTACTGATTGATAATGCTTAAATCATTACTCAGGTGGGCCAAATTTTGTTCAATTTTTATAATTATCAGTATCGAATTGTTCTATAAATCTCAGATGAAAAATCATAATTAAATTTCCAAAATTCAAAATGATGGATTTAATATCGCGGAAAATTCTTTTGATTTCCATACCATTTCGGTAAACGGGAGTTCTTTGGATCACTAATCATGAATCCACACCCGGATTTACAAAATTGGAAATGGCGAATCTTATTGACCAACCAATATACTGACAATTAACTTAGTTGCCATGTAAATCTATTATATATTCGGAATTTTTCGGGTTTTCGCTGTCAAAATGGTAGATCCAATATGGCCACCCAAAATTTTTTAAATGTCTCTAATTCAAATCAAGATCGGAGAATTGTAAAGTGTTGATTATGAAATATAGCTGTGAGATTATTTCTGTAAATTGAAATAACTGATCCAACATATTTATATAGGTAATATGTTAAATTAATGTGTTTTTTTGGTTTATCTTAGAATTACGTGTTAAGAAACATTATTTTTATATATGTTATTTGTTCATTTATTCATAAATTATGTTTTTTTAACACTAAGAAATCGAATAAAAATTGTTAATAAATACATTTTCTTAATATCTTTAATACAAGGAACATATGAGCCTATGTGCTGAATGGTATTGCAAATAATTATATTTTACTCTATTAAAAATAATTATTTGCAATAGCATACAGCATTGGCTCATATGCTCTTTGTTTTATTTGTTTTTGTTTGGTAGAACCTTGCTATTATTTGTCTTTTTAACACTTTTAGCAATTTTTAATATTTAAGCATTTTTTAAATATTCACGTCATATTAATTGGCATATTGTTATTATTTTCTGTAATTATAGTTTTCTTGTAATTTTCTTTTTTGTTTTCTGAAAATGATAAATTTTGGAACATTATGAAAATGTACTCCTCCAGTTATTTGAATATTTTGTGTTAAATTGATATTTAATACAAAACATTTTTTAGTATTAAAATAACACAATTTATGAATTAATAAATAAATAATATAAAAATGTTTTCTAAAACTTGGATAAATGAATAAAATGTTAATTTAACATATTACCTATAAATATCAAATTTTGGATCCGTTATTCCGATTTACAGAGACCTTACAGGTGATTTGTAATCAACACCTTAAAAATTTTTCGATCCTGATTTGAATTAGAAATAAGAAAATGCAGTACTAAAAAGTTAATAAAAAATTCTGAAACAATTATCAGTATCAGTGCGTTCTAATGAAGTACAAGGGTCACAAAACGTTGACATTAGCAATGTATACAAACACGATGATAACTTGCGAACCTTTTGATATTTTCGACGATACTTAATACTCGTGAAAGCCTTAAAAACATTATTTTGATAATATTCTTAAAGCTCTAGAAGAAAAAAATAAACAATTTTTGTTTCTTACTATTTTTCTGTAAAGTTGATAGAATTTGAGTAAAAAATTATTGAAAACCAAAATATTCAGTAATTTTTAATAATTAATATCTCGTTAACTATTGCGAAAATTATAAAATGCTTTTAGTATCAGTTTAGTTCGCTTTATTTGTCCACCACAAGCAGAATTGTTGGCAGAATTATTTTAAACATCCTACACGCGCGCACACACGCGCATGCACACACATACATCATAAACAGTGCATTATAATCATTTGTATGGATCGAAAAAATAAAAATGAATAATAAATGACAATTCAATAAATCTTATTTTTTATCCTTTCGTTACCAATATATAATATAAAGATTTTATATAGGGCATTCTTTGTCAAATCAGCCACTCACCGTTCCAAAATTATACTTGAGAAAGTAGAAAAATCATCTTGCACATAAATGTAAATTTAGATATACCATAAACTAGTAAAAGCCATGTGAACAATTGCAAAATTCAAGATTAGAATTCAATATGGCAAATATGAAGAAGAGTAAAAAGAAAATAAAATAAAAGTCAGTGCCAATACTCGTTGAAGCAATACACTTTAAAGTTTGTTTTCAAGTATGTCGTGGACCCTGATTACAAATCTGTTGATTACAATTTCGCTATCTTGAATTCTGCAATTGTTTATATGATAGCTTTCGATAGCTTATGACTAAAGCTACATTTGTGTGCAAGGTGATTTTTCTATGTTAAGTACAATTTTGGAACGGTGGGTGGTCAATTTGACAAAAATGTCTCATATAGGTATATAAAGATTATATACCCATTAATGGACCCAAAGCTCTTAATACTGATCCAGGATTGTTAGTGAACACTTTAAGATTCCAAGGATGTCTTGCAAACGGACTGTTTTTTGCAACAGAAAATCCAAATCCACGACCGCTTGAATCAATGCTTGCCGCATGTACGCAGACATGACGTTTTCTCTCGGCAACATGTTTCCAAAATGCATTCTCTACCTCGTTGGCGGAAGCACCCTCGGTTTCATTTCCTCGTTGATTTTCACCGAACCACATACGTTGAGTATTACGGGCAATTCGATAAAAAGCATTCAATGGCATGTTTCTTCCCTTTGATATAACAAATATAGATACACTTATAGGTAAAATGTACATATATACAATATATATATACACAAAATGGTTCGTTTTAATCTTAACGGGTAAATATCTCGAAAAATATAGAGAATACAGAAAAATGTTTCAGATAAAAGTTGTACAGTACGAAGAGAAATATAAGAAAGTACCATTGATTTGACCTTACATAACGTCATTAAGGTCAGATCAAGGTCACTTTAAATTTTTTAAATAAAACTTCCATTTTTCATCATTTTTTTCATTACGTAGTTTACCTCAAGAGTTTTTAAAACACTCTAATAAAGTTATCTTTCATTAAGAACTTTTTAAGTTTACAAGGCTTGAAAGCTACGGTACCATCGGTATTCTGGTTCCCACAAACCAGACGCGACTTTCTGCGCGGCAGAAATTTGCGTAATAGCCAATTATTCTTTCATTTTTATGAAAAAGAATAACCTGATTGATCTCGCGTTTCTCAATTTCCATCGCGCGGCAAGCGTTCCCGCATTCTATGTGCAGGAATTATTAGCATTACCCAAGATGTGCAGTGCAGTGTTGCTGTGCTTAGTCTTAGCGCCGAGACACTACCATGTCTCCAGATAATATTCAAGAGGTTTTAACCATCGGTCGGACATCTTATTACCGAGTAATCCTAACGCCGGTATACTTTAACTTTCAAGTTTTATAACTCGAAAAGTTTTTAATAAAAAACAATTTTATTATATAGTATTTTATTATAAAGGAACTTTTCTATATTTTTCAAGATATTTGTTAAAATTAAAATGAATCACCCTGTATCCAGTGCATGTTAAAGGTTCCAGCACAGCTAATTATTTCAGAAATTGGTTGGCTGGAAAAATGTTTCATACAAAAGTTGTAGAGTTTTAATAAATGCATCAAACTGAGATACCCATTTGACTCTGAGCTTAAATGCGGAAAGATTCAAAATTAATTTTTAAATTTTAAATAAAAGCTTCTTTTTGTTCAATATTTTTGTAGTCAATATCAAGATCTTTGAGTGAGAGAGAGAGAGAGAGAGAGAGAGAGAGAGAGAGAGAGAGAGAGAGAATTTTTAATTTTATACTTAAAATAAATATTAGAGCAACTATCCAACTATCCAACGCCTTGACAAATATTATCAAGATCATGACCATAAACAGCATTTAAGAAGTGTTGGCTGTTGGTCGGACATCTTAGATAATGTCAACGCTGGCAATACCTGCACTTTGTTAACTCATATCTCGAAGTATATTTAACTAAAGGAGAGGAACTTTAGTCTAGAATTTTGGAAAAATCATGATGTCAGTATAAAAATATTGAATAGAAAAAGAAAGTTTTCCTTAAAAATTTTAAAGTTGACTTTGAGAATTCTTTCATACTTGTGTTCACAGTCGAATGGGTATTGTGAACTGATGTATTTGTTGAAACTCTACAACTTTTGTATAAAAATATTTCTCTAGTAAACCATTATATTCTGAGATAATTAACAGTTTAGGAACTTTTGATACATACTACTGTATATAGGATGAGGCATCTAAAATGGGCTATCTAAATAACTCGTTTGTTTTTTATGCCTCACCCTGTATAAAGTATTTGATATTAGGATTACGTTTTCACGCCTTACATGCTGTAAGCATCATATTATTTTTATTATCTATAAAATATTAAATAAGAATAATGTTTATAAGTGCTATGAACACAAAATGGAACACACTCTCAATACAAGGGTTTAAACCTAAGGGTCTGAGCATAAGCATTGCCGTAACATTTTACGACAACTTGTTATAGACGTAAATAACGCACAAGCTTTGGCGTATCGGCGTATGACGTGTTTATGTACATTATTGCCATATCTTTCGATAGCGTGCATAAACACGTCATACGCCGATACGCCAAAGCTTGTGCGTTATTTACGTCTACAACTTAATTATGTTGTAAAATGTTACGGCAGTGCTTGTGCTCAGACCCTAAGACAGGAAAACAAAAAGCAGAAAAGCGGCAGTCAATCAGAACTCGCGCTGGTAGTCACTGATTTCGACTTTCTGCTTACTATCAGATAGGTAAAGTAGATTAAACTGAGAATCGAAAAGTTTTATATTATTTTGTAATTTTCGCAATATTTAAAAAAATATTAATTCTAAAAATTGCTGAATAACATGGTCTATTGCCAAATGCAAGCGTGCGGTGGAATAGAACCGTCTATCGTAGTAAGTTATTATATTAGGCGCGGAAAAAGGTGTATACTATAAGCGGTTTTAGCAATGTATGAGCAGCGAAAGAAAACATTTCCCCGTGTTGGGTGGTTACATCATGCTATGCGCTTGCATTTGATGATATGTTAGACAGATACATATTTATTCAGTGATGTTTAGAAATTAGTATCTTATTAATTATTGTAAAAATTGCAAAATAGTACAGGACGTTTCGATTTAGTTTAGCCTACTTTCTATTTACTCATAACAATCTTTTAACTAATATTAAATACTCTATATACGTATGCATATGCACGAAAATTACTTGAGAGATTTTCAAATATGTTCTAACTTATTAATTCTTTCAATAAAGACTGCTCACGTAATATATAAAATGTACTAGAAATGATACATTTTTAAAATTTGTAATAAAATATTTGAAAATTGAAATAGATTTCTGGTTTACACTTTGAATAAAAAATTAAATCCGTTCAAATTAAATTTAAAAAAATTGCACATAAAAATAAATATTTTCTACATCTTATAATAAAAATAAGAATGATAATGAATTAATGTCATACTTTAACGATGCATTCTTCAATTTCATCAGAACTGTCTTCATCCTCTTCCTCATCGTTATCATTAGATGATACTTCTTGCCTTTGCAAGGCTTTGCTTTCTTTTTTTATCCATTCACTTTCAACCTCATCAAACAATTTTCCACGTTCCTCTAAATAAATTATTTATAATTATAAATAATTCTGAGAATATACATTTTTTTACATCTTTAATAAGAAAAAGCTTATTTATGATATAAAATATACCTGGGGATAATGTATCATATGGCAATAAATATTTACAATAAATATCATCTAATTTAGTAACACGATCCTGTGCTGATTTCGGTATTTTCATGCCATCTGCTACTTTTTGCCACTTTTTTTTCTCAATTACTTCTTTCAATCCACCCAAACTTTGAACTGTTTGATATAAATGAGGTAAATCTACCTCCATTCCACCAATCTGAAAAAGTTAATTATTAGTAAACACTGACCTTTAAATTTTCTCAATTATACAATATCTATTTGAAAAAAAAAAAAATATATATATAGGGTATTCAGCGTAATGGTCCGCATAATTTTGTTTGAACATTTCGACAGCTAAGGAAGATTGAAGGTGAATATTTATCTGTTTCATGCGGGCTATAATATGCGATAACAAAATGTTTAAACAATTTCTTTTATTAAAAAGAAATGAAGGTCACCTTAAATTTTTTAAATAGTACCATACAATTTTTTTCCTATAATACTGTAGGGGTCTTCAAGACAAATTTAACGACAATGTCACTATTGACTTTATTAATACACATAATATGTATCATAAATATTCATTAATAAAGAAAGACTATGGTCGCTTAGTCCATAATGCGTAAATAGTTTAAAATTATCTTCGGAATATCTTTGGAAATCGTAATAAAAGTATACAAGATGTTCATGTGTATCAATTAAGTTGATAAAACCGTCAATAAAAGTGACATTCTTGAGTTGAATTCGTCTTGAAGACCCTTATAATGAAAAAAATATTGTATGGTGCTATTATTCAAGATGATCTTGATTTTTTATTAAAAAAATTAAAAAAAATTTTTTTATCGCATGTTATAGCCTACTTGAAACAGATGAATTTCATCTTCCAATCTTTTTTTTTAACATCAAGTGTTTAAAAAATTGCATTGTTACGCCGAACACCCTATAAACATATATGTACGCACGCACGTATGCATGCACGCATGCATATACAAACAATTTTACCCATGGAGGTTGAGTCAAAGTAATACTCTGAGTAGCTAAATATTTCTTGATAGCCATAATTTCTTTTACATTAGGACCCCATCTGTGTAGCATGCGATGTACATATTGATTATAAGCGGTAAATCTCATATCATCAGACACCTTGCATTCTGGCTAAAAATTGAAAAAGAAAACGAGAAAATCATAAGATAATAATGTAATTAAAATAACATTTAATATGTACTATATATATATATATATATATATATATATATGTGCGTGTGTATTATTTATTTAGTAGAACTATGATGTTTCTCTATGTGATATTTACCTTGAAATTCGGTGGAGGTACCACTTTACAAATTCCAAATTTTTCAGCGACTGGCCTTATCTTATCTATATACTCTAATGGATCCTGGAAATCTTTCTCCGTTGGATGAAATGTTGGCGCCTCGACTACGCGAGCTTCATCATTCGCGATTTTCGTGCCTAGAAACGTCGTACTACTGCTTGAAGAGCCTAGTTCCTTTTGTTTGCATTTCATTTGTATCCTAAAAGGTTTTTATCATATGTGAATGCATAATTTCGCACTTAAATTATTTATGTTATTTCGAAAATATAACGTTCAATAATACCTCTTCCCGCTTTTTGTCGAATCTATAGAAGTTTTTCTTTCTCTAGACTTTGGTGATTTTGTGAGTTTTTCTGAATTGCTATTTATAATCGTACTGACATTTTGACGATTCAAACTTGGCATTGACATTTCATTTTTCATTAATGATGTTGATTGCATCTCCACGTTCGACATACTTGCTATTGCGGTTGACACAGTTGCGGTCGATGATGTTGATGGAACTTGTTGTTCCACTGTAATTACTGCAGGATTAGATGGAGTACGCGTTGTCGGCTGTACTGTACCTATTGGTGGACAACGTGCCACTGATAACGGTGGCTTAGTGACCAATTTAGCTCGAAGGAGTACTCTTTGATTAGGACCAGTCGGTCCTTCAGTACCGAGTTTAACAGCCACGCCCTGTATTAGCTGTTGTCCTTGTACCAGATTTGGACCGCCTCTTGTAACAGCCTGTAACGGAATATAAAATAGATGTCCATCGTTGTCGTCGTCATTCTCGTTATTCATTTCGGTTTGAGTAGATATCTCGGTACTTTTCTGTTGACTTATATTGTTTTCGTGTTCTCGCGTGGTCTCGTCGAGATTCACTTGTACCGCTATGGAAGCACTACAATTTAAGTTGCTCCAACTTGTCGTGAGTTTATCAAGTGGCAGCACTTGGACAGTGGTCAAGCTTGCAAAATTATTGGGTAATTCAAACTTGCTCACGCTTGGAGTTATATTTACTACGTTCTTTGATCTTTGCGACTCTTGTTCTTTCTTTGCAATCGTTACGGGATCGTTTAATGATTTTTCTTTACTATCCAATGGTTCAGAATCCTTTGAACTTAATTTGTTAGGGATTATTTTGGACTCGGATATTATGGTCTCCGTAGAGGTTGCTGCTGTCGAACGTCTTGCATTATCTTTGATTTTTCTTCGGAAAGGTGTGCTAACGGGAACTTCGGCATCACTTTCAAATGCGTAAACACTGCTCTCGTTCTCTGGCGAAAACGCGTTCGCATTCGGTATTACAGTTTTCCGTTCCTTGACTTTGGGCAAAAAAGGTTTTCGCGGCTGAAACGTTTTCTTCTCTGTCGATGATTTCTTCTCTACAGAATCATCCACCGAGTTTTGATCTGTTTTAAAGACAGTATTGTTGCTTGTATCTTCAGAAAAAGAGGTATCTTTGTTCGTTTTTCCAGTTTTATTCTTGACAGTCTGTTTTCCTTTGATAGTGCTCTTATTTTTGTCAACAACTGCATTTTGTCGCTTCACTCCGGTATTACGCATATCGGATATTACTGGTATCACATTTTTATTGTGGACTCCTATACGATCCTTCAAATTTGTCTTATCTGATAATTTTGAAAGTGTAACGTTGACCGGGCGTACCAAATGTTGGATTTTCGTTGAAATAGATAGATGCGAGACATCCGTCTTTAACTTTTCTGCAGAATCGTACCTAAAACTAGAAACGTTTTCCATCTCCAGCTTGCTCTCTTCTTTGGCAAATGAACTTTCATTCAACCACTTTTCTATTTGTTCGGTTGACATATTTACTCGTTCTTTTCTTGTGTGCAGAGTAGATAGTGGTATAAGATTGGAAGAAACCTCATTTTCGCGATTACATTTTTTGCTCGTCTGTTCTGTAAATGGCAACAATAAGCTTTGAGTCTTGTCGGACAAATCTAATATAGATTTTTCCTGCACAAATACATTGCATTCACCATTTAACGGATTCGCAACGGAAAAACCGTCTTTGATTGATGATGTTTCTACTTTACTTTTCTGTAAAATGACGCTTTGATTCGCTGTTTGCGATACATCCAATGTTTTGGGTAAATTCAACTTTTTGTCAGACTCTGTGACTAATAAATTAACATTAGCATGCGTCTGACATGAATTCAAAACTTTTGATATTGCCTTCTTAGTAAACCCTCGAAAAGATTCCTCGTCGTCTGATACCTTCGACAGATCAGTTGTTTTTTGTATGTTACTGCAAGCTGCCTTTTTATCTTTCAGATTGTTAATATTGTCAGGGATCTGCCCTTCCTCTTCTTCCTCGTTATCTTTTTTCTTCTTTATTTTATTGAGTAGCATTCCTAACGTCTCCTCTTCTGATTCCCCCTTCTCATTTTGATTACTTTTAAGGTTCTTTTGTTTAATCTTATTTAACGACGTTTTACATATATTTTTCTCGCGTTTGTGTTTTAACACAAATTTTTCTCTAACTGATTTCACGCAATTTTGAATTTGAGTTTTCGGTTTATTATTTACGTTACTTTGTATTTCTGTTTGTATAGTTGCATTTTTGGAGGATGATCTAAGGCTTCTGATTGGTTTATCAATTTTCCCAAGACTCTGTCTGGTAATAGGTCTTGAATTGTTTGTTTCTATCGAGCTCTCAGATTCTTCGTCGCTATCCTCTTCACAATATCTTTGTACCCTCAGCAGACGTTTGCTCTTTAAAATCAGTTTATTATTTTTGCTTTTATCCAATCGCTTATTAGTGTTACTATTGTAGGAACTAACTTTAGAATCCTTGGTTTTAACAATAGCCTTGATACTACTTTGTTTCACTTTGGCTTTAAGCTCGTTCTCCGTTTGCGTTATTCTACGAGCATTTGGCAGCTCGGGAAAGCTCTCAACTGAAACGTTATCATTTTCTAAATCCGGGCTCACTAGTTTTCTCCCAAGAATTTCCATATACACAGCAGCTGCTTCTTTTGTTTTTCTGGTAGGCCTCCTAGAAAGATTTTGTGAAGAGACTGTGCCACTAGACGATCGAGTAACTCTCCTCATTTCTGACTTACTTCTAGTACAAATCTTTTTTTGGATGCCTCTTTGTATGTTTCGCTTTATTTGTGATGTTGCTTTCTCTATATGTAATTCTTCCCTTTCTTCGTTGTCGACATCATTGTCTTCTTCGGATGACATATCTATATTTGAAGTATCACTATTTTTCAATTTTAGATTGACTTTCTTCTTTGGTTTTGGTAACGTAACTTTCGTTTTTGATAGAGATTTACTAGTTTTCTCTGGTAGTACACTACTTCTTAAGCCATGCCTCTTTGTCTTGATTTTAGGTAAAAATTTTCGCGGTGTCAACTGAAGTCCAGCCTTTAACATAGATCTCTCCGTACATGATCTTGTCTTCATAACGCAAGTAGTTTTAAATTTATTTTTGATTCTTTGCTTAGCAAGGCGTTGTTCTTGATATTTTTTTTTAAGTGCTTGAACCGTAGATGTAGTCGTCTTAAGTTTAGTAATACTTTTGTGTAATGCACTTGTCACTTTCTTTTTATTCGAAACAATAGGTTTTACTTTTGTCACATTTTTTTGGCATGTGTTTTCTTGCTTCTGAATCTCTGTGAAAGTACTAGTAGAGGACAATGTTTTTTCTATAGAAGTTTGAGTTGGTTTAGATCCTTGTTTCTCCTTTTTGTTGCCAGTATTGAAAAAATTTAAATTAGGTGGCAAAATAGATGTTCCTAAATTTGAAAAAAGAATTTGTCATCTAAAGAATGTATAAATCAAAGAAACGTTTAAATCAAGATAGATTACAACAACTATATATAAATAAATATATAATATAAATTATATAATAGTCTTTTTAACACTAATGCTAAACAGAAATAGTAATAATAAAATATACATTTCTAAGTAACATGTGTTCTGTTTTATATTTTATTAATAGAAAAAAAACACGCATGCGCACACGCACACACATTCATACAGGCAGGATGTTTCAGGATTCAATGGACAGACTACAGGAACATATTCTACAAGTGGAAATAAGAAAAAAGTGTTATATAAAGTTTTGCCAGAAATGCTTTATTACAAAGTTACAAACAAATCTATACACAGGTCAAAATGATATTGAATCGTTTAAAGATAGTAAATATGATGTGAATACATACGAAATAAACAAGTTTCTGTACACAAAATGTACACTTTTATTTTTTGTACAATGCAAGATTCATTGTTTCCTATTTGATGTTTTATTTTAATATTTGTTTATAACTTTACAATAAAGCATTTCTAATTAAACTTCATATAAAATCTTTTTATTTTCACGACCGACTGCTGCCAACCGAAAGTTGGCACAAAAAGGAGGGAGTATGTGTTTCATTACTTATACAATATGCTCTCACAATTTGTCTGTTAAATCTTAAAATATCCTGTATGTATGTATATATATATATATATATATATATGTGTACACACGCACACAGGTGGTTCGATAAGTCAAATCTTTGTGAAGTAGTGCCATAATCCATTTGATGATGTAACATTTGGAAAGTATCACTCTTCAAACTCTTCTGTGACAAAATTCAGCCAGAATTGATGCATTGTTCAGGTTCAATCATTGTTTCAAACGAACAAGCAGTTGCCACGTATGAAAATGAAAAAAAAATTTCATGCAAAATTACAGAATTAAGCTTTAATGATTCTTTGTTTCAATCCAGGTAATATCATGAATGAGAAATTAATTCAAAGTCCAATTCTGTAATTTTGCATGGAATTTGTTTTTTTTTTTTTTTCATTTTTCAATGTGGCAATTGCTAAGCTTCTTACTCGCTTGAAACAATGATCGAACAATGTGCCAATTTTGGCTGAAATTTGGCACAGGATTTGAAGAGTGATACTTTGTAGATGTCACATCATTAAATTGTGGCACTATCTCATAAAGACTTACCAGACTTATCGAATCATTCACGTATATAAAATTCATCCTTCTGTATCTCTTACAATTTAGCATATTGTATCATCATTTAGAATAAATAATTTTTTGACTAAAAATTATCGATTTAAATAAAAACATTGCTATTAACCTAACCTCTGAAGCATAAAAATGTTAAAAAATCCTCAGTGTTTGGTCGTTTGTGAGTTATTAATTCTGTGATTGTACCAGGTTTAGCTTTCTCTTTGTCTTTAATAGGTGTAGGTGATGTATTAAATACTGCGATCGCACCTTGCGCAAATTTTCTTTGTGCATGAACTTTGGTTCTGGAATAGATAATTGCAATTTAGTACAATGGCAACCTCTCTCTTTAAAAATTAATACAAAATACATAGCATGATTAAGCGTATGTATATTTTAAAAAATATACTTTATTTACAGTTTGAGAAGTTATTATCATTAAAAACATATTACATGTTAATTTAGGAGTTACCTTTTCGGAGATTCCGAAAGTGGTTCCATAAGATCTACCAGATCTCCTTCTTTCCTTTTTCGTTTGTCGTTGCGACTCAAAACCATTTTGAGATAGGGATTAAAATTTCGGTGAACACGAAATTGTGATTTCTATTATTTCAATGTACATTCAAAGTTCTACTAAACGCATTCTTTGCGTAAAAACTGATTCTGTTCCGTTTTCGATGAAACTTAAACGAATCGATATTTCAGACGATCGATAAAAATTATTACCATCGCACTAGTTATAACGTATCATCAAAGAATTCTTTGATGTATCATAAAGAAAATCAATCAATTCGAATTAAGCTAAATTATTTGAGGCACATTCGGCACGTTCATAGCAGTTCGTCTTGACAGTGCACCAATTAGGATAAATAGGATCGTCAACAGAAAATTGACAGATTTAATACCATGATCACACAGCAAAGAGTAGCTGTGGTCTCCATGCTATTTAGCCCATAGGGGTTTGTTCTTTTTGGCCCGTATTCAGGACGCGCTTACAACGATGTTAGCGCTCTAAAGGTGCTTTTTCATGCGCAGCACGCTGCAGCAGCAATTCGTTACTATTGGTTAAGAATTTTAAGTAAGCTAGATGACGCACTTCCGGCGCAAAATACATTTTGCCGCAGTTCGTTGAACCGAACGAACAGCAAGCGGCAAAATCGAGGCAATATTATTTATTGCAATAAATATTAGGAAAATAAACGAAGAATGGCTTCGGATAAGGTACGAATGTTTGTAAATTAGATTATTTTATACTTTACACTTTACTTTTTCAAATTTGTGGTAAAGTATAAAATGATCTAATTTACAAACATGTATCCGTACCTTATCCGAAGCCATTTTTCGTTTATTTTCCTAATATTTATTGCAATAAATAATATTTTCATAATGAAACGACGGACATATTGTACGCTTTCTCGATTTTGCCGCTTGCTGCTTGCTGTTCGTCCGGTTCAACGAACTGCGGCAAAATGTATTTGCGCCGGAAGTGCGTCATCTAGCTTACATAAAATTCTTAACCAATAGTAACGAATTGCTGCTGCAGCGTGCTGCGCATGAAAAAGTACCTTAAAGCCCATTCTACATTGCTCGTATCGTAGCATCGTAAAAAGCTCATGGCACATAAAAAAACGTAAGGCACACACTTTTGCATAACGCATAAAGCATGTGCATAAGGAATTTCATTGGCCCATTTTCTTATGCATGAGTCAATGGACCAATCAAATTCTTTGTGTATATGGTTTATGCGTTATGCAAAAGTCTGTGCTCCCCGCCTAAGGGTGCAGTCCCATGGAGCGTATCGCGCGTATCGCGGATTAGCGGATCGCCAATCACAGAATCGTTCTGTTAGATCTGTTTACAAATTTTGTAAGCAAATCTAACAGAACGATTCTGTGATTGGCGATCCGCTAATCCGCGATACGCGCGATACGCTCCATGGGACTGCACCCTAAGGGTGCAAACCCATGCAGCGGAATAGCGGAACGAGAGCGGAACCAATCACGAGCGTTCCGCAGTTTTCATTACGCGGATTCAAATCCCTTGATCTCCATAGAGCGCAATGAGCGTAAGTGGAATTATCAGCAAGTTCGTAAATGACGTTTAAATATTGTATTTATCATTCATTTTTTATTATCAAGTATCTAAATACAGAATTAAATGCATTTCTCATTGGAAAAATATTTAAAGATGTTAAAATTTATGAAATTAGTTTTAATGTGATTGTAACCTTTATGAAATAATGATTTATGATTGGTTGCGCAAAGTCTCCGTTGCGCTTATTACGCTATATGGATCTTAGATATCAGAGAAGCGCAACCGGCTCAGTATCGGCAAAATTACTAAGAAAAGTATTAAAAATGGCGTCGTTGATATCTAGGACTCTACATAGCCCTAACTCGGAACGCACCCTAGGACTCTATGCCTAAAGCTTTTCTCTTTTCAATAGTTGGCATCACTGTGTACACGCGGAAGACGTAGCGCGCATGCGTTCAATTTTCCAGTGATTGCGATACAAGTGACGTGGCTCTGTTGTTCATGTGAGAGAATTATTAATTTTTAATAAAAATCTGTGTAATTTCTCTTGCTAACAGTATTTTAAGGGAGTTATATTAGTGAATAGAATAGTTGTAACTAATTTATGTTTTTCGTATGCAGAGATAATCGTAAGTTTGTAACACTATTGATTTTTTACATACATATTTTTTCAAAACTTTATTACTTAATATTTTTATCTTAAAAAATAGACAATTATGTAGAAAAAAATTAATATCAGAGGATGAAATAATTATTTGAATATGAAATTTATACTAAACTGTCGTATCTCTTGTAGTATCATGACGACATATGATGAGTTTATTCAACAAAACGAAGATCGCGATGGAGTACGATTCACATGGAATGTATGGCCCTCATCACGTATCGATGCCACTAGACTTGTTGTTCCATTGGGTACTTTGTACCAACCAATTAAAGAACGACCAGATCTTCCACCAATTCAATACGATCCAGTTCTATGTACAAGATCTACTTGCAGAGCTATTTTAAATCCATTATGTCAGGTGGATTATCGTGCAAAACTATGGGTCTGCAATTTTTGCTTTCAAAGAAATCCTGTAAGAAAAGAAACCTGTTTTACTTTTAACGTGGTCTATATTGTCTGAATTATATATATCGGATCTTATCAATTAGTAAAGTTTAATAATGTCTACTGACTGCTTAATATATTCAGATAGCAAATCTAAAGAAAGCAACTCTAAAGAGTCAGTTATAAATTTTGCCAATAGAAAAGTTGTATATTTGATCAAAATCCGAATATACAAAGAAGCGTATTGACAGAAATATAATAAATTTTGTGAACAGAATATGACTGCAAAGAATCATACAGTTGAAATTGTTATAAATATTTCAAACTTGGACATATTTGTGATATAGAAATAAAATATGTATTATACATATATAGATTTTGCTTGTTTTCTATTGTCGTGTTTTATTAGACTCAGCTACCAAAATACAAACTTAATTGTAATGTTATAATAACAATTGAACATTTTTATTAAATTTCATTAGTTTAACAAGATAAATATTTAACTTTTTTCTTGGTAAAATATAGTGTTAGTAATATTAATATTTTAGTTTATGAAAGAACTGTGCACTAATTATATGGCAAATTATATTATAATTATAGGCAATAGGTCCAGTGACATTAGTTAATTTTTACATATTGTAGCATAGCTTATAATATAGTGAACAAAAAAATATTATACATTGTGTCTCAAAATTTGAGAATCATAATACCACAGTAAGAACAGTATAAATATAAAGAGGGCAAAGAGCCAAGTAAATTAACGAACAATTTAATTTAAATAATCATACAAACATATAGAAAACAAACGTTTCGACTCCGATCGGGTCATTTTCAATGTTACATAAAATGTGAAGTTTTATAAATTAAAATAACAATATATTGCATACATTCTTCATTAAGTAAAAATATTCTCAATTCATTGTAAGATTCAGTCAATGTTGGTGTCGTAAGCATAATTAATCCTTGTCAAAAGAAAAAGAAGTAACAAGTCCATAAATAAAAATTCCAAATCACAACAGTAAAACAGTATTATAATTAAAAATTAAGTAAGGTAATTTGCAGCGAACCAAAATGAGCACTGAGCTTTGTGTTGACAAATAAGATAACACAGTAAGAAAGTTTTCAAAGAATTAAATAAAAAGTTTTTATTTTAAGCAATTTTTGAAATATAAGAATTTCAAATATGCTCACTATTATATGTCAACTATTACTTTAGATGATCATTTGTCTATGAATCTCACGTGTAGTAGTATTAATAAGCGCATACTTTAGTATTTAAACTGTTGTCCATTTAAACATAATTTGTAATAGGCTATAAACCTTGATTATTTCACAAACTGTTAGTTAAAATAAAAATTCACAAATATAACTGTTTTACTTAATTTATTGAAAACTTCCTTGCTCTATGGTGCATCAAAGATATATCAAAGATACTTTGTGAGCATTAACTTTATATTGTTATCATACATCATGTCAAGAATTATTGTATATTATTGAACGTTGTGTCTAAGAATATCTTTTGTTTGCTACATTGTATGTGAAAACTGTCTTACCTCATTAATACCTATTTCCACCAATATAGATTAACTTTAATCTTGGTTCAATTTGCTCGTCTTTTTCTAGTTCTAAAAATTAGGAAGAGATAAATAGTAAGTTAAACCGAGATTAAAGTTAATCTATATTAGTGGAAACGGGTATGAGATCTAATTTTCCAAATAATTAGTCCAAGATTTACTAATCATGTAAGTTCCACAATAAGGTCGAGAATATGCCACAAACTAATTCTTGTTAGCGAAAATTTTATATATCTTCATACAATTTTAATATTAAAATTAATACAAACGTTTCGGTTATGAATTTGGCCATCTTCACACAGTGTACTATAATAATTTTAATGCATTAACATAATTAATCGGTATCTAATTGTACACAAGTATATAAACAGTATAGTAAATAATACAAGTCAAAATATAAAAAAAGAATTACATTTTGAATGTTATCTGTTATTTCATTATTCTTGAATTATTCGGTAAATTCTGTCAAAATCCAATATTGCTTGATTGTTTAAATTGTCTTGTCACAATTGAATTTATCCTTGTTAATAACTCGTCCTATTTAAGTCAAGCTATAGTTTCCTGACTGAATGAATTATTTTTACAGTTAGTAGAGTAAAACAAAATTAAAGAGAACTTAATACAATGTAAAAGAAAAAACAATAAAATTAATTACCTATATCTTGATGCAATTAAATAAAATCCATGATAGAAAATTTATTTGTGAACTTGTCTTTTCAAGGATGGTGAATTCTTGAGTGTTATAACATTATGTGCAAACTTTTCTAATTAGTCAATTATATTATATATTACAAGAAAGCAAAAAGATATTAGCAAAGGATAGCTGTAGATTTCTAGTGTCATAATCAACTGTAGTTTATTATTGTTGTTATATTGTATTTTTTAGTTTCCACCACAGTATGCTGCAATTTCGGAACAACATCAACCTGCAGAACTTATCCCAATGTTTTCAACAATTGAGTATACAATAATGGTGGGCAATAAATTATAAATGAAGTAGAGACAACAATTTTTATTAGTGTTATTTATAAAAAGTAAAAGATATAAGTATGGATATTCATTTACTTTTGCTATAGAAATTAAAATAATTTAATTATTACTTGATTCATAGTATATGTATGTGTATCACTCTTTCTAAATTATATTTTTTTGTCAATACACACATTTCATACAATAATTTGAAATGATTTGAAAGGAGTATTATACGAGTATACAGGGTTTTTCCATATAAGTGTTATTCCTTTTTGTTTCATAAACTATCAGAGATATTAGACCTGACAAATACAGTTAAATCAAACTGTTCTAACTGTATTGTAAACACAGTGATCTCTCACTTAGAAAAACTATCTATATTAAAGAATGGAGAGATACGCATAATTTTTGCAACATAAAATAAATATTTCAACGTGTGACATAGGAGTTATAGCGTTTCTTCTAATAAATATAACAATGTATATGAAGATGTAATAAACTTGTAATTAAATAATACAATGTATGATATAATAAAATTATTAGCAGGGAGCAGCATCAGACTGCTCCCTTGATGAAGTGAATTGCAATGTTTACGAAATGTTGGCATTCTAAAAATGGGCACACGGAGAAACCCGCGAAATTCATAATTTATATATAGAAAGTGACAGTCTCAAGAGTATTATTAATAAAATTATTGTACAAATTATACAAGTTATTTCAATTTAAAGTTTTGTAGGCGACTATTTTTTAATTTTGGTTCTATATGGTATGTTCCGACTCTTGCATTGACAATTGACCTATAACATGTTGGTATCTGATCCTGACCCCTTATGAGTTAATCGTCAATGTGAGAATTCGAAGTTGATTACGTCGAAACTGATAAAGAAATAGTCCCGTTAAATTTTAAACCGAAATTTGTATAATTTATGAAACAATTTTATTATAGCATACATCGTTGTATTCATTAGAATGGACGTTCTTTCATATCGAAATATTTCCTTTATTTTGTACAAATTATGCATATCTATTCGTTCTCTAATAAGAATGACTTTTCTAAGTAATCACTGTGCTTATGGTATAGAGTTTAGTAAGAATCATTTAAATTGAAGATTTCAAGGATTCTTTTATATAATAATAATTACTACGTTAAACAAGGCGAATAAGAGTCAAATTACAATTAAAATCTAAATCTGATAATTTATTCTAATATTCCAGTCCAGTAGTGGAAGCCAGGACGAAACGCCAAAAATTACACAATATTCTTCGCAATATATTATATAATATTAGAATAAATTATCAGATTTAGATTTTAATTGTAATTTGACTCTTATTCGTCCTGTTTAACGTAGTAATTATTAAGAATCATTTAATTTGATATTATATTTATCAGATATATCTGTTAAGTCGGCGGCACATGATTTTTTCCTACTAGATTTTTAGCTGGTGAGGCAGCATCGCAACTAATATTGAAAACGCAAATCTGGTTAGAAATTTAGCTGGTTAAAAAAGTATCGTGTCTCTGGTTTTAGTTTACGAGATAAAAAGAAGATGGCCGCTTATACACATCTACTATTTATGAGGAAATCAACTCTTGTTACAAAATTGATTATATTATATATTTAATTATGTATACAAATTAACATAATTTTATATAATTATAATAAATTTTGTAATAAGTTTCTAAATTGAATCACTATAGTTATGATAGTTAAAAATCATGGTAGTTAAAAAACCATTATAATATAATAGTTAAAAAAATCTTTTGTAATAGATATAAATTTCCAAAAATGTAGGAGGAAAATCTAGATATCATAAAAAATATACTATATTCATTATATGTATTCATGCTTGTATCGTTTGTCTTCTACTAAGAATATTGATTTTTAACGTTAATTTTTATATACATCATTTATTATTTATATTTATCAAACTGGAATTACGTGTTAAATTAAATTTGACCACATCTTGTATATATAATATTATGTTTAGCGTGCCCAATGTTTACCACCTATATTTCTACTTGTTGTGGATACTTGCCTGGATGACGAAGAATTAGGAGCACTTAAAGATTCATTACAAATGTCATTATCTCTACTTCCATCTAATGCCCTCATTGGTCTTATTACATTTGGTAAAATGGTTCAAGTTCATGAATTGGGATGTGACGGTTGCAGTAAAAGTTATGTATTTCGCGGCACAAAGGATCTCCAACCAAAACAAGTTCAAGACATGTTAGGTAATAGCTAAGCTTTCAATTATTTATTCCAATTTATTGTATTCTAATAATATATAATTAAATTTGTATTTTGACAGGTATTGGTAGACCAATTCCAGGACAAAATCCAAATCAACCAAGAGGAACTGGTGTACAACCATTACCACCTGCTAATCGTTTCTTACAACCGGTACATAAATGTGATATGAGTTTAACAGATCTTTTGGGAGAGTTACAACGTGATCCTTGGCCCGTTGGACCAGGAAAACGTTCATTACGATCTACAGGCGTGGCATTGGCAGTTGCCGCAGGTCTTTTAGAAGCTAGTTATGCAAATACTGGTGCCAGGTATGTATAATATTATGTTGTAATAAATATATTGTCTATATTTAGTTTTATATTATTGTGAGATTATACGGTTGAAAAATTATTTGTCACAATTAGATGAATGATAATGTTTAATGAGAAAAAGAAATACTGAGAGATAGTGCTGTCTGTTACATGCGTTCGCTGCTCTGCTCAAGCCTCCTACACTTGAATAATTAGAGGCGCGGGATTTTTGAGTTTGGACATCGTTACAGACCCTACATTATTATAGTTAATTAATTCTAATCTGTTTCAGGATTATGTTATTTGTTGGTGGACCATGTTCTCAAGGACCTGGCCAAGTAGTAACTGATGATTTGCGACAACCGATCAGATCACATCATGATATTCAAAAAGATAACGCTAAGCATATGAAAAAGGCAACCAAGCATTATGATGCACTTGCATCACGTGCTGCAGCTAATGGTCATATAATAGATATTTATTCTTGTGCCCTTGATCAAACTGGTTTATTAGAAATGCGTCAATGTTGTAATTCTACTGGTGGTCACATGGTAATGGGAGATTCATTTAATTCTTCTTTATTTAAACAAACTTTTCAACGAGTATTTGCTAAAGACGCTAAAGGTGACCTGAAAATGGCATTCAATGCCACTTTAGAAGTAAAAACATCTCGGGAAATTAAAGTTTCTGGAGCAATTGGGCCTTGTGTATCATTAGGAGTGAAAGGATCTAGTGTTGGAGAGCAAGAAGTTGGTTTAGGTGGTACTTGTCAATGGAAATTTTGTTCGTTAACACCATCTTCAACAACAGCATTATTCTTTGAAGTTGTAAATCAGCATACAGCTCCGATTCCGCAAGGTGGAAGAGGCTGTATGCAATTTATTACTCAATATCAACATAGTAGTGGACAAAGAAGAATTAGAGTTACTACTGTTGCAAGAAAGTAAGTACTTTTTTTTTATTTTTTAATATACACGTAGTGACAATTAAGTTCTCAGACTAAGGCCATATAAAAACATGTCCGAAGAATGTCTGAGATCAGGAGACGCGGTAGTCTCTCCGGCCATATTAACAAAACTACTAGTAAATTTAAAAGTTAGCTTAAAAGTATTAGTTATAAATTAATAATAGACACTACAAGTCTCTTATCCCGAGCCACCAAAGTCCGTTTTTGAGGGGTGCATAACTACTAAAATATAAAAAATTTTGAATCGCACGTAATATGTCCTGAAAGGCGGCATCGCCACTAGTAATTCGAGCTAAAAAAATTTAAAATCGGTCAAGCCGTTCTGGACATACAAGCGGTCGAAAAGTGACATACACGACGATCGAGTGGCATTTGGTCTGCGCGCAGGGCAGTGAGGTGAGGAGAACAGCGGAAGGCGGAGGCGACTCGAAAATCGGCCGAAAGTTGCATACACTTTATGTATGTTCACTTTGAACTGGCCCGCACCTTTAATTTATATTAATATATCAGTTACTTTTCGTGGTAATATATTATTATTAGGTAAAAAAAAGGTCTAAATCTTTATGATATGACTTTTTTAACGCTTTATCCTGAAGAGGTTTAAGATGGTTGTATTTCACAGGCTGTGGGGGTAATTGTTTGAGGGCGTAGGAGCGTCGCTTAATGGGGAAAAAAACTTACTGTTACAAAAATCTGTAGTAATTTTTTAATAGTAATTTTTATTTCCCTATTGTGCGCTGATATTTGAGAATAAGTTAATAAGTGGAATAAATATTAGTGAAGTAGTTAGCGATGGGATTAAATATCTACAAGTAGGTTTAAATTTATTGAAGCAGTTTCGACTTCTATGATTACTTTGAAGAATAAAAGTAGTATTTACAAGCAGATTCGAACCTTAAATGAAATAGGTTCGTATCTTCTATAAAGTACCTCGAAAAATAACATTCTATTGAACCATAACATTTTTTTTCATCAAAAATGGTCAAGCCGAGAAATTTTTTTTTCGTTTTTCCTTCATATTCCGATAATTCCTATAAAGGCCACATTTGAAATATATGTTTTTGGGGAAATGACACATATATCAGTGACGACTTAAAATCTCGAACGGATCCGGCTGGAAGCAGAACGCACATGCGTATCCTGCAATGCTCTTTCTTTGAAAATGTTATTTTCTCATATAATTTTTTTGTATTTATATAGTAGCGCAAAGGGATGCACGACTTTTCACGCGAAGTGATTTTCTTATCTCCCTCTGCTACGGGGCGTACGACTTTTCCTCTGCCAAGAAGCGCTGGGGTGGAATTCGCTTCGCGTAGAAAGTCGTAAAAAATATATTTTAAAGCAAAAAAAATTCTGTTTTATATGATATGAGAAAAGAGATATTTCAAATTGTTAATAACTTTTTAATGAATAACAAGTATTGGCTAAAACTTGTTAAAAGTAACTCCAAGGCTAAGGTAATGACAGGGTTATGACCTTAACAACATATATCAAAATGAAGGTCATCGGTTCTCCCCATCTGTATTTGTCTTAATTTTTGTTAAATTGGACTTGTATCCGTTAAAAGAAACGGTTCATATATTAGATGATGGTATTAATATTTTCGATCCATTTTTCTGTTTTTATCGTCTCAGTAAGGAACTTAATCATCACACCATGTATATTACATGATAATTTATAGATTTTTAATATTTCTTGAATATATTTTAAATTACAGTTGGGCAGATGCATCATCATCATTGCATCATATAAGTGCTGGATTTGATCAAGAAGCAGCAGCTGTTCTTATGTCACGTTTGGCGGTATTCAGAGCAGAAAGTGATGATGGTTTAGATGTTTTAAGATGGGTCGATCGAATGCTGATTAGACTTGTTAGTAGTTTCTGTTAATAAAATTGCGAAAAATTATAAGTATAAGTATAATGCTTGAATGGCATATAATTTTATAATTACATATTCTTTTACATTTTTTAAGAAATGAAACACTTATTTTTGCAGTGTCAAAAATTTGGAGAATATGCAAAAGATGATCCAAATAGCTTTAGATTAGCACAAAATTTTTCCATGTACCCACAATTTATGTATCATTTGCGCAGATCTCAATTTTTACAAGTATTCAATAATTCACCAGATGAAACCAGCTTTTATAGGTAAGAATATTTTTATGAAATATGTGGTATTTTATTTATAGTGTATTTTTGAAATTTTGTTGATAAGTTTAGGTATCTATCAGGGATTTGGATTGAAAAATTTCGACTCGGATAATGGTCTGAGGCTAAATCCAACTTTTGATTCCAGATCTTTTATCGTAACGGTTACTGGGACCGTTTGGATTTTTGTTTTTTATTTAAAGTTTACATTTATAATATATGAATGTTAATTATTGCAAGAAACACAACCAATGGAAAATTGCCTTTTAATTATTGTAGTTTAAAGATAATTAACTGGGGTATTTTTTGAATATTTTTTGTTTTTTGGTTTTCTGTAATTACACACTTGTAACGGTTACTGTTATTGTTAAGAGAAGCTAACTGAAATTGAAAGTAAGATAGCCTCGGATCGTAACTGGTTCGAAATTTTATTTCGTAATGTAATTTTGGTCCGAGTTTTTGTTATCGATAAAATAAATATTTTGATATAATAAAAATTGTAGAGCGTCTCCTTTCTAATGAGTGCAACGTTGTATGATATAACAAAAATATTTTACAAATTATTCAAGTTATTTCGATTTAAAGTTTGGTGGCCAATTACTACCTTTTCAATTTTGACCCTGCGTTGTGGCAAATTTCCAACTCCTAGCATTAATCAGATGGTAACATGTAATTATGTCAGTCATAATGAGAGATTTATGATATACTGAGTGATTGATAATTAAACTCTTGCATAGAGGCAGAATGGACTAAACGGTAGAAAAATTCACTATTATTTTGCAACTTTTGCAATGATTGACGAGATATTAATTTTTAAAGATTGCTGAATAAGAGCGAGTCTTAATTTTGCGCACTTTTTTACTTATTGTCAATTTTCCTTTTATGCAAGAGTTTAATCATTAGATTGTCAGACAATGTAGTTACACATATTTTTTGATATTTTTCAGGCATATGCTTATGCGTGAAAATGTAGCAGATTCTTTGGTTATGATCCAACCAGTTTTATATAGTTATGGATTTAATGGTGCTCCAGAACCTGTATTGTTAGATACTTCGTCTATTCAACCTGATAGAATTCTGTTGATGGATACATTTTTCCAGATACTTATATTTCACGGAGAGGTAAATGAAATAAAGTAATAAATTAAGGCTCTCTTGTTCACACTATTGATACCTTAGATTGTGATGTCAAAAGCGAGAAAATGCAGGTTGTTCTGTCTACATATCTCTTTAAGAGCGGATTCTTTGGAACATTCTAAGACGAAAATCCTAATACGAAAATGTTGAAACTATATTAGTTTTTAAATTATTAACAATTAAGGTTTACTAATCACATAGTTGACATTTTGTGCGCTTCAGACATGATGACATGACAAGTGATAAAAGTGCTCCTCAAGGGCCTTCTCAGCAACTTTGAGATAATCATACAATAATATTTTTACTAAGAAATTTTTCTTGCTTTTATACGAAATCTACTTGTACATTACGTGTACATAACTAATATAGAAACATACCACAAAGTATTGACTCATAAAGAAATATTTCATGTGTCAAAATAAATTTATAACCATTTGTTTAAAAAAAAAAATAGGGTCCTATTTCATTTGTTATCATACGGCAATTTTGTCAAACGTATTGATTGGCTGTTAGTGCGTATGCGAATCCACGTAATACAGCATGGTTGTGTATATATATATACTATTTGACAAAGGGTGCATCCAGAAGCACGACCGCTCAGTGAGCTCTTGTACCTGTTTGGTTTACACATTTAGATCTAATAGAATATGCCAATCAGATAAAAAAGCTCATTGAGCGCTTAGTGAGCGGTCGTGTTTCTGGATGCACCTAATGTCTGACGACAGAGATCTTTCCTCGGTCTCTCCCACCATAATAGAAGTTAATTACCTTTAAATTAAATGAAAATTATAAAAATAAACTTTATTAGATGTTATGATTAATGAAATTATAAATATTCTACTAAAATCACTCACCTTATCTTTGCAATTACGCGATAAAGGATTATACATAATTTATTATCGTCAATTCTCGATTGCACGTTCATGCAAAATTCGGAACGATTTCGTATACATATTGTTATAATCGACACGACTGTCGTAAAATGTTGAATCCTGATCTACTTCTTTTCCACAAAATTACTATCATACATATTCTTCGACGGATGTTCCCCACTTCTAGATTTTTGGACAGCCAATCAACGTATCCGACAAACTCGTACAACAAAAACGCACAAATGAAATAGCATCCATAGAATAATCATTTTTATTACACACACACACACACATCAGTAGATTAAATTTTTTAAACAGAAGAAAGAATTAAATATGTCCTATAAAGTAAGGGGCTAAAAGATGTCAAATACTTGTTTAATCCTGATGCATAAATATCAACTATTACTTTACTATACATATTACTTGATAATTATGTAGTAAAAAATTGAAAAAGTTAAAAATATAGAAATTAATATAAATTACATAGAAACGCGTATCATCAGGGCGAGGACACTGATACTGTATATAATATTATAGCTAGTTGGATGCACTAGCGCGCAATATTAAAGTCATTGTGCACTTATTTAATTTGCGTATGAAATGCAAATATTTCGAATCAAAATACGGATTTTACTTAAAAGCGTAATAAAATGTACGAATGCGTTCTGAGCGCATCCAACTGAATTCGTTATAAGATTACATATTAGATAATGATCATGGAAAATTCTGATCTGGAAAACCTTGAAATGTCAGGGAGTTTTTAAATTCTCTTTCTGTGGCAATCGTGTAAGTTTATTAATATTTAAAAAATTTATGCCATAAAAATTTTTTTGTATACGCATACACGAGCGTGTATTTGTGTATATTTTAATTGTATACATATAAACCTTGTGACAAAATAAACTTTTATATTGGTTTAAAATTCATATTCTTATAGACTATTGCACAGTGGCGACAGTTGAAGTATCAAGACTTACCAGAATACGAAAATTTTCGACAATTACTAGCTGCACCTGTTGATGACGCTGCTGATACATTAGCTGTTAGATTTCCTGCGCCACGATATATTGATACAGAACAAGGTGGTTCTCAAGCTAGATTTTTATTAAGTAAAGTCAACCCAAGTCAGACACACAATAATATGTATGCTTATGGTGCGGTAAGTAAACACGTGTATTTAATATTTTGACAGTAAAATATACAAAAATAATAAAAAATGATCAGGCTAAACTATTTATATATGATCAAATATGATAAACATGTTTCAGTTAAACATAAAATGAGAGAATGTTCCTTACATAATTTGAAAATTTTACGATAGATTCTTTTAATCTTTCGATTCAATTTCGATCAATTTTTTATCTTGAAATATCAATATTTGTACAGATACATTCAATGTTTATATTTCTGTATATATGTATTTATGTTAAACACATACATTGTATATACAGGGTGTCCCGAATTTAAATATCTAAACTTCGGGATACTCAGTATAAGGACAAACAATTTTGATATAATAACTGTGATATAACTTTGTTTTCATAATTATCAAAAAATAAATTTTGTCGTTTGTTTCATTTAGGAGAGTGGTGCCCCTGTTCTGACAGACGACGTCAGTTTACAAGTATTTATGGAACATTTGAAGAAATTAGCTGTATCGTCTACAGCATAACTAATACATATATTAATTAATTAATATTAATATTATAAGAAATATATGAGATACAAGAGATACATATTATGATAATAAGTATTCATTTATTATATATACATATATATTCGAACAATTTATATTTAGAAAAACAAGAATAAATAATGTTATAAAATTATATAGAAAAGTAAAGTGAATAAAAATTGGATATATAAATCTAACTGTAAATTATAATGGAATAATATTTCAATAAATAAAATAATGTAAATTAATTAGAAATATTTCTAGGCACCACGAGGAACCATCTTAATCGAATGCCGTTTTCCTATCATGTTTGTTTAATTTTATCGGTCAATTTTTACTTTTAGCATTGTTCATTATTACATGAGAAAGACGTTTTCCTACATATACTAGTAAACTAGTTGTTACAATATGATTAATATTATATCATGTGCTTCGATAATTGAAGATGGGAGGATGCTTGTATGAAATTTTCGAGAGGTCCGGATTCAAATTTTGGCTGAAGTAATATCTTTACAGTAAATTTATAGGATTTTAAAGATGACAAATTAATAGAAAAGAAATAAGGATTCGTTATGTAAAAATAAACAATATGATGTCAAGGGCGATATAAGAGTCAAAAAGATTTTTGTTCAACAATAAAACATATAATTAGTCACTATTTTCAATAAAATTAATTTAAACATTACTTAACACTAATTCGCTTTCAAACAATTAACTATGATAATAAATTTCTTTTAATTAATGTCTGAGGAGGGCTCAATCCGAGAGCCGAAACTTGTAACATTTTTATATTTATTAATACTTATCTTTATTTTTATTATCATAGTTAATTGTTTGAAAGCGAATTAGTGTTAAGCAATGTTTAAATTAATTTTAAAGATGCTTATTAGTATCAATAATATTAGTAGTAGTAGTAATAATAATAAAAGAGTGGATGGAATTGTAAACAGAAAGTCGCCGTTTCTATAACGTAATATCTATAAAGTTCCTCTGTTATTTTCCGATTGTGTGTGTTTTCGAGGTTTAACAGTTTAGCCTAGCTGTGTACTACGTACTAGGCTAAGATTGGTCATCTTTCTTATTTTCTAGATCTTCAGGGTTCACGAATATATAGTCCCAAGATCTTGGGTGTGCCAGCTAAATTCGGACAAAATTAAATTTGAATTTTCCGTTATATGTAACTTTAGCCTCAGTAGATGTTGGCGCTCGGTTAAGTCAGATATTTGTATGAAACGTATATAACTTTAAAATGTCGAAATGCTAGATCAAATACGAACTACAACCGAAGCGGCAATAATTTAAGCGCTTTATACGCCGGACGTTTGGCGAAATTATTATTATTGTAAGAGTGTGTAACAAGTCCAGGCATCTCAATGTGGCAACTTTTCAAGCCACTATTGAGGCAGCATTCATGAATTTAGGCAAGAAGCAATTAAAGAGAGTTCGCGCTTTAGGTAAAAAGTATTGAAGCAGTGATGGGAGTTGTAATTTTTTTTTTTTTTTTTTTCTGAAATGGAGTTTTTATAAACTGTTTGTTTTGTCCGGATTTAGCTGACGCACCCATATCTTTTGCAAGCAAGTAGAGAGCAGCAACACAAGAACTGTCTTTGTTTTTCTCTTCACAACACTGGTAGTTTTTCTGTTTAGTGAGTTCAAGGGTGTACTCTGAAAGGCATATGTTTTGTGAGGAGGTCTATGCCTATTCTCAGTTTGTTTCTTCCCATAGCTATTAATTCTTTCGTTCTGTCTAATTTGAGATATTTTATTGATTGTTTGAACTGTCGGTAGAACCTTCACAGTCTTTTTGGGGTTCAGACTCCATGTGATCGCACCCATGTGATTACCATCGGGCGCATTCAGCAGAAAAGAGCGCTACGAGAGCGCTCGCTGTTATTGGTGTATTCTTCTAGATCATCCAATCAGAATTTCAAATCTGGAAGAATATACCAATAACAGCGAGCGCTCTCGTAGCGCTCTTTTCTGCTGAATGCGCCCAT